GGCGCACGAGCGTGCCATGGATCACAGGTGTCGCGCGCCCCAGCACCTGGAGGATCGCCGTCACGACGCCCATCGCGCCTACACGGCCAGGCAATCACTCCCCATCTCAGACGCCATGGCGATCTTCGTACACTGCGCAGCGTCGGGTTCGAAGAGGCGGTCCAGCGCTCGAGCCTCGGACGCCTCGGACGCAGACCACACGGGAGACGCGAGCGCAAGCTTGACGACGGCATGCTCGAGCTATTGGACTTGATCAACATCACGAGGCAACCACGAGCTGCACGTACGACCATGTCTTCAAAGATGGGCACCACGTAAAGCGTGTCGACGCCAATATCGACGACGAGACCCGTGTGGCGACCGGCAGCCACGAGCGCGACTTGGGCGTGCGTCACGAGGTTGACGCTGGCCGCGCGGCAGTGCTCGATGGCCATTTCGACCATGCGTTCTTTCTCGAGCGGCGAGATGGACGGCTTGTGCAAGAGCACCATCTAATCCAACAGTCGACATCGTTCCGATGGCATGTGCTGGACCTTGTACTGGGGCGGCGCCACCTGGAGCAGCGAAAAGACGCGGCGCAGCGTCGCCTCGAACGCGTCAAAGTCCTCGATCGCACCGAGACGCAAGAGCGGTGCCTACGCGGATCGAATGACATGTGTGGCGAGCGCAGGCGCGTGTCTACCGCAGGCGACCGGGCATCAATGTGCTTGGTCTAGAAAAGAAGATGTCGTCGAGTGAGAAGGATAGTGTTTCGTGTACCAGGAGCCGGAGGTCGGGGACGCTTTGGCTCGTGCCACTGCGCACGACACCGGCCTGGATCTCGTGGCTGCCGATGTGCACAACGACAACCCCAAGGGGAGCTGGCGTTGGCTCGTCATCGATGTCGGTCGTCGGCGCGTCGACGGCGTCCCAACAACGGATGCGGCACTCGGCTTCGTCGGGCGCCTCGAGCTTCGTCTTGTCGGTTGCCACCGGCTCCTGCGGCGTCGTTGCCGAGGCGAGGAGACGCGTCAGGAGGCACTGGGTGTTGTGCAAGAGGGCCACAATCTCCGACTCGGCCTCGGTGGTCGGTCTTAAAGCACCTTCATGGTGGTCGAGGCGGTCGGCAAGGTGCTGCAGCACGTCCGTGTCCATCGCCGACGTCGTTAAATCGACGTTGAGAAGCTCGAGCTCGGAGCGTAGCGCGGGTAGCTCGGTTCCCCACACACAGCCAGGGCTTATGGTGGTATCAACCGGTTCACTGTCGTCGTCGGTCGTCTCCAGAATCGTCCAGAGCCCGCGCTCGAGGCACGGCGTCGCGTCCATGTCTGTCTCCCACGGACCGACGTCGCCGTCGTCGGTGGCCATCGGTGCTCGGATCTCCGCGGAGAGCTCGATGCGGCGCGGCCACTCGTCGTCTTCGCACGTAAGCACGCGGCGGTCGGCTTCGAGCGTCTCGATCGTCGCCTTGTACATTTCCACGTCGTACTGCAAGGTGCGCACGAGCAACGAGAGTTGGTGCACAAGCTCTTGGTGCAATAGCAGCGTCGGGCACGCTTCGTCGGCCTTGCCACCGATCGTTGTCACGTCCGGCGAGAGCAGTTGCTGCAACTCGATGGCTTGCGTGCGCAAGTGGTCGAGCAGCGTGACCTTTTCTTCGGCCATTGTTGCCAAGCACGTCTCTTGGCGCGCAACGAGGTCCTGCAGCCCTCGTACCGGCGACAACTCTTCGCTCTGCATACCGTGCTGCTCCAATTGCTCAACGACAGCCGCGTGGTCGGCCACAAGCGCCGCGATGCGCGCTTGGGCACTTGCGTTCTCGGTGTAGCAAGTCGCAAGCTCCTCCGTTTGCTTCGTGAGCGCAGCGTAAGCCTCGATGAGCGCAGCGTCTTGCGTCGCAGCGCGATGACGCAGCGAAATCATCGTCTTTTCTGCCTCGTCTAACGCCGATGTGAGCCGTGCAATGCGGATGTCGGCTTCGGCGGCACGGGTGGTGGCCTCGCTCTGTAGAAGCGTCATTGCCAATTGGGTTGCATCGGTCGACGCAATGTGGGTTGCTCGGAGGTCTTCAATGTGCATGTACAGTTGCTCTGTCTCGGTGCTGCAATCGCCGAGGTCGACAGGTGATGCGCTTCGGAGCAGGTCGTCGCGAAGAGGACTGTGGACTTGGCGGTGGCACGCAGTCTCTTCTGCTTGCATGTGATTTGTTTCGACGGCTTTCGCGAGCTGCGATTCTGTCGCGAGGAGTTGCATCTGAACATCGCGCACGCAGACGCGGTGCGACTCGACGTCGGCGTGCGCGAGCCCAAGCTCTTCCAGAACCATTTCAAGCGCGCGTGCTTCGAGCGCGACCGTGCGTTCTTGTGGAGGCGGGAGGTCGTCGAGCAGCACGGCGATCGTCGGTGCGATCATCTCGGTTGGACTTTCGCTGTCGACGCCTTCAAACGTCTCGCACGCAACTGCAAGAAGGCGACCGCCTGGTGTCTGTGGAAAGGCTGCTATTGGCGCCCACGGGCCACCCGCTGCCACGTCATAGTCGACGCGCAGCTTGCCCGCCGCGCAGTGACTCGCCTCAAGGTCCAAGGCGAGCTGGTCGACCTCGGCGTCGCGCGCCGCAAGCTTGGTAAGGGCGTCCGCGACGTCCGACCGGAGGACGTCGAGTTCCAGCTCGTGGTTGGCCTGCATCGCCTCGATGACCGTGATCCACTGGGACGTCGCCTTGACCGGCGATGGTCCTTGCTTGCTGCTTTTTGTCGAGCCGATCTTCTTGTCGTTGCTTGCATCACCGCTATGGATGCTCAGAGTACTTGTGTCATCGGGGAGGACGCTGGCACCGCCGACAACCGCCGGCGTAAAGTCGCCCGCCGCCACGATGCCACTTGCTATCGAGCTCACTGCCTCGTGACGTGGCACGTCCTCCGGACAAGGCGTTGATCCGTCGGATGTCGTCGTTGTTGTTGTCGTCTGCGTGCTCTCGTCACAGCATCGACAGCGCGCCTGGCAGCGCGTCCACTGGAGCTTTTGGAGCTGGCTCTGCACAAACTCGCAGTGGTTTGTGGCCGCGTTCAGCGCCTCTTGGGCCTGGAGCAGGTCCTCTCGGCACGCTGCGTACGCTTCCACCACCGCCTCGTGGTCTCTGGCCTCATCTTGCAGCTGCTGCTCGAGCATTTCAATGTGCTCATGGGCAGCGCTGAGCTTCTCGTCCGCCGCCTGTCGCTCGTCGTCGAGAGATGCTTCCCACCGGTCACTGAGCGCCTCGAGGGCTTCTTGCACGACGTTGCACTGCGTCGCCCAGAGCTCACTTCTCGCCGCTTCGTTCTGCGCTGCGTCACGCAATTGCGCGTTCGCTGCTGCCAGTGCCTCCACTTGAGCTTCCAAGTCGTAGATCGAGTCGGAGGTGGCGCGGTACCGATGCTGCAGAGCCTTCTCGAGACGAAAGGCGAGGAGTTCCTTACGCTGTGCGTCGCAGGTCGCTACAAGCTCGTCGCGACGACGATCTTGCGCCAGAACATCACGCGACAGCGCCTGCGACAGCGCCTCGGTGAGCCCCTCGTCCGCCTAGCAAGCGTGATGAGCTTTGGCATAGAGTTGGCGCAGCACGAACGTCCTCGGGCGGTAGTGACAGCATCGCATGCCACTGCCGCATCGACGCAAGCAGCGCCGTGTTCTCGGCCGTCGATCGCTGCAGCTCACTGGATTGCGTCTGGCACTGTGCATCGAGTTGCGCGAGTTGGAGGCGCAGACACTCCATCGTATCGTCGAGCGCCACCGAGGTCCGCCGCGCCGGCATCTCGTTGGACTCGGGTGAGGGTGGCAGGACCATGTCGCCCGACAGTCGACGGGTGAGCGCGGCCTTGGACTGGAGACTCTCGGCGCGGAGCTGCTGCTGCACTTGGTACAAGTCGTCGACGTGCGCCCGCAGCGTCTGGATTTCCTTGTCCTTCTCGGCCGTGGAGTGTTGAAGGAGCGACGCTTGGTCCACCTAGGACATATCCTCGCGTAAAGGTCGTCACGCGCAGCGCCGTACCGAGAGGCGTAGCTCCTTGTTGAGTCGGCTCACGCAGCTATGGAGCTCGTCGCACTGGTCGCTCTTGGCACGCAAGCGCTGCGTGAGGTCGGCGACCGTCACCTGCAGCTCCTGCGCACGCGTGAGGGCGTCCTACATAAACTATCATCTTCAAACGATGGCCGGTCGACAACGCACGGGCTTCTCCACCGGCTTGCGAAGGCGCGGGACCAAACTGGTCGTGCTCGCGGCTCTCTGCCATTAAGGTGTTATGACGTGGTGTTAAAAGAGGCGTACGACGGGGGTGCCCCGGTACGGAGGCAGGCGCGAGGCGCGTTGCTGTTTCGCTTTCTCGGGCTTCATCGCGTGGAAGGTCTCGAGCACGGCGGCGACGCTCTCATCGCCGGCGTTGTTCATGCTCCGACTGGTCGGCCTTTCCCGCCGTTTCAGTTGGCTCCCCGATGAAACACACCGCTTCAACTCTATTTTTCACCGTGCGACAACTGGTCGTGGAAAACACCGTTCTGCGCCGGACCAGACGTCTCAGCGTGACCAGACTCCAGTCGTAGTGTAAATCAAGTAAGTGCGTCCATTGCATTGTATATCAACAAGACAGTCAACATGTCGTCATATCTAGTCCATTGTCGGTGGCCTTGCTTCCGTGATGAAGAGCGTCTTAGAGCTTGTGCGACATGACCACGGTTTCGCCGAGCTTGAGCTTGAGCTTCTTGCCCTTGAGCTGATCAAAGGGCCCTGCCATACCGGGCAGCTATCCGTCAGAATGGCATACATGCGTCGATGAGCACATAGTGTCGGCGCGTACCGGTGGCGACCCGCTCGGCGGACGCTTCTTGCTGTGGTCGTCGTTGTGGTGCTTTGACTTCATCGGGTGCCCCGACGACGACGACTTGGTGTTGGACTTGCTCTCTTCGATGAGCTTGCGTAGCGACTCGTAGCCGCCGGCCCAGTTGGCCGGTTTTTCCTACCATCCGGGACCCCATGACATTGCAGCATCGGTACTACCTGCACCGAGTGGGCGAGGCAGATCGGCGTCGCGTCGCCCCAGATTTTGCGGTAGAGCAAAGCGAGGGAGACGCGGAGCGGCTGGTCCGTGCTCGCGGTCGTGTTCATGATCGACCAGAAAAGCTCGGTGGCCGCGCGCGTCGCCAAGCTGTCTTCGCGCAGCGACGAGAGCGACGGCGGCGTAAACGTGCTCGCAATCGACTCTTTGGTCGGGCTCTTTTGCAGAAACGCACCATGGTGCTCCATCTGGATCGCGTGCATAATACCGAGCGTGTACGCGTGGTCCCACGTCGCCAGCACTTGCGCCGCGGCGCTCGGCGGGAAGCCGCGGATGCAGTTGAGACACACTTGGACGGCAAAGCGGCGAATGCTCGGCGAACTCTCCGACTCGACGAGCCGCAGCGCGTACGAAATCGCAGCCACGGGGCCAAACGGCCGTGTCTTCTTGGAGGCTGCCTCGTCGCGCGGGTCTTCGGCAAAGTAGAGCCGCAAGATGCTCTCGATCGCGGCCTTGCGCACCATGGCCGGGTACTTGGGCGACGCGTACCGGTGGTACGGCACCGCGCTCTCGTCGGACAGGCGGCCCGTGAGCTGGAGGTTGCAGAGCGCCTCGAGACAGCAAATCGTGATCGTGTGGCCGTAGCTCGGACGGACGTCGTCGTAGTGCAAGAGGCGGAGGATCTCGGTCGCCGTCTCCTTCTTGCCCAAGCTGCGGTTCTCAAGGACGAGCACGGACAACGCGAGGATGAGACTGCCCACGTAAAAGCAGTCGTCGGCGACCGAGCTTTCGTCGGCCATTTCGACATAGTTTTTCGAGTTGTCGTTCTGCATGAGCAGCTGCAGCAAAAAGGTTTCAATCTCGGGCGGTGAGAAACCCGTGCGCGACCGGACGACCGCGAGCGCTTTCGGAATCGCCTTCTTGATCTCGTACTCGCCCTCGGCATAGTCTTGGATCTGAATGTCGCGGCTCGTCGTCGACTGCTCCTCGCCCACCGACTGGCAAACATAACATCGCACCACGTCCATAGGCAAGAAGAAGAAGCACATACCTCCAAGATGACCTTGCCGCCCGACGGTAAAAAGTAGTTGGGCAGCGGCATGTCGGCGTTCCGGTCAAAAAAGTGTTCCTTGAAGATGCGCACGAGGTTGTGCATGCCCTTCCAGTCGGGCAGGTCCGTGCGCGCGTTGGTCATGGGCGCGTGCAGCGACTGCCAGAGTCCGAGTGCGATCGCTGCCTCGGCGCGGAGCCGGCGCGAGTGGGTCGTGAGCCCATGCATGCACTCGGTGAGCACGCGGCACGCCATGACGTGGGACTTTTCGTGCGCGAGCGGGTAGAGCGCGAGGGCGCGGGCCGCGTGGACGCGCGACCGGACACACTTGGAGTCACTGAGCAGCTGCTCCATCCAGTTAAAGTCGGGTTGGTACATGACAATGTGCCGGAGCCAGCCGCACTCGGGGTCGATCTTGACCCAGTAGACCGGCGTGTCGTTGAGCCCCATGCCCGCGCCCGAGATCTGCGATGAGTAGTCGTCGTCGCTCTGGTCGAGCTTCTGGCGCGTACGGCGCTTCTTGCGCACCTTCGAGTGGCACGGAAACTCCCATTTGTGCCGCAGCGACTCGATGCGCTTGTGGTGCACATACTCGCTCTGCTCTTCGACGATCGTAATCTTGATGTTGCCCGTGTACTTTTCACACCCGGGCAGAAGCGTCTGCTCGAGGACGACCTCGGCCTGGGTCTGCTTGCGGTTGTACCAAAAACCGACGCTAAAGAAGGGCAGGCCACCGTGCACGATCCACGTCTGGAGAAAGAGCCGGCACAGATCCTGCCCCGACGCCCCCGCAATGCTCTTGACGATGCTCAGGAGCGACCACGTCGAGAGCGCTTGGGGCTGACCGGCCTTGGTCGAGGTTACTGTTGATGACGGACGTGTTGCCGTCGTCGCCGTCGTCGCCGTCGTCGTCGTTTTCCTTGTCCTTGTCATCGTCGTCCTGCTGCTGCTTGGTTTTGCTACTGTTGCCCGACGGTTGCTTGCCGTAGCTCTCGGTCGGCACCGAGCCTGCGACGATGCGCTGGAGCGAGATTTGCAAATGTTTCTGGCCCACGCGCTGCTCAATCATGTGCAAAATCAGCGGGCCCTTGGCTTCGAGGAACGGCACGTACGACGGGTCGTACTCGCCATAGACGTCGACGTCCGGGTAGATGAGCGTCGGCGCGTCATCGGACGTGAGCTCGATCGTCGTGAGCGCGTCCATCGCCAGCTGGATGCGGTACCCATACTCTTCCTCGCCAAAGACAACCTTGACATACGCGTTCACGAGGTGGCCGACGACGCCAACGAGCACCCATGCGTCTTTTGTCGTCTGGATGCCAATCGCACCGGCGATCCAGCTTCCGACGAACGCCTTGGCTTGAAGAAGGTGCGACGGCAGCTTGCGGTCAATGATGGTCGGCCCGTAGAGCGAGCGCTGGTCGAGGACCGACGCGCCGGCGTAGTACTGGACCTCGTCCGGCGGGTCCTCGACGTACACTTGCTGGTACGTCTCGAACGGGTACCGCGCGTTAAGGTAGCCTTCGTAAAACGCGAGGATCGACGTGGTCGGGTACGGTTGGTGCGCCGTCGACTCCTTGTTCGACTTGGAGAGATGCACGCTCGATGTCGTGTGCACGAGGTCCTCGTAGACTTCCGGGAGACAAAAGTACGTCATGCGGGGCATCGCCTCCGGGATGTACATGCGGAACGGCCCGACCGCGAAGCCGATCATGGAGCAGTTGGTCTTGGTGTTGACGACGTACCGGAACGACCGGTACGACTCGTCGAGCGACTGGTCCACGAGCCGACCGCTGCAGATCGCGACGCAGTAGGATGGCACGATGAGCTCGATGCGGAAGGTGCACGTGTCCTTGAGCGAGTCGCGGCAGGGCATCCACATGCGCGCGCCGTCGCAGAGGCCGCCAAAGGGCCCGCAGTACGTGTACATGTGAGGCGATCGGTTCGGGTGGTCGGCGTCCGGAAGGAGGAAGCGGACGCCGCCACGCGGGTTGTCCAGGACGTACTCGACCCGGATACAGAGCGGCTCGTACCCGGTCTGGCTCGATGGAATCGTGTCCAAGTCCCAGAACGCATTGTCCTTGGCGTGCTTGCTGTCGTCGTCGGTTCCGTTGTCATTGTCGTCGGCCGACGACGCCTGCGACGCGCTCGGCGCTTGGCCGTTCGTGCGCTCGATCGGGCCTGGGAGCTCGATGACCAGCGTCCCTTCCTTGGAGGCCACGATCGCACCACGGTAGAAGAGGTCGTACGAGGCCCAGTCGCGGTAGCTCTCGTGCACGATCTCCGAGAGAAAGTCCAGCTGCTCAAAGCGCGCGTCGAGGCCGTTGACGGTCACGCGGGCCACCTTCATCTGCCGGCAGTGCACGCGGACGCGGCTGAGGTCGCTCGCCTTGGGCGCGAGGATGAGCTCCGAGACGCCGACGAGCCGCTTCTCCAGGAGGTCCACGCGCAGCTGCAGCCGCTGCTGGAGGTAGTCGTAGTCCATCATCATGGTCCTGGTCGGATGGAGCCCACAGGAATTCCTCGACTAAACGCACGCGTCCTTGTCGTTTTAAATATAGACTATTTGCGTGTCATGATTGCTGGTAGATAGTGTGAACACGTTGCCAGCGATTGTAGCGAGGCGAACGAGTCGCCACTGCAGCGTGGTATCGTGGCCACGTTCGGTGCGTCCAGAACAAGGTAATTTTGCAGACGACATGGCATGGCACGTTTCATGCCGACTGCTGTCGGCCACGAGGCCAAGGTCGAATGGCTGTAAATAGTGTCGTATCGACAGGCCCCGAATAGCACCGTACAATTACCGGTAAAGTGTCAAAAATACCGTAACAGCACGAGCACGGACAGCATTCCCAGCGCATCACCTCGAAGACGCGCTCGCCAATGACTCTGAGTGGGGACAACGCTCGTCGTTGGCACTAGTGCCATCCTCGTCGACGCTTGAGCAACTACCACCTGCGTGCCGCAGCCCTGGTAATAGTACAGTCCATCGTCCATCGAGAGACGGACCACAAATGATCGAGGACAATATGTGTGTGCTTATTGTAGATATATACCCTATTGACAAGAGCAGCTAATCGCTAGCTCCTTAGACGAGGAACGTGTGGACGCCATAAATACCGTTTTCGCGAATGAACTGCATGATGGACGTGTGGCCTTGCTTGAACGCCTCGGCGACACCATGGATCGTGCAGCCTTCGTTGCGGTTCTCATGGAGCCATCGGAAGATCGTGAGGTTGCCTTGCCCGGCCGCCCAGTCCATGGCCTTGGTCGTGCAGCCCTCGCGGCGGTGCGCATGGAGCCACTGCAGGATCTCCATGTGCCCGCTCTGGGCAGCATAGTCCATCGCGCGCACGGACGCGCCTTCCCAGCGGTGCTGGTGCAGCCACTTGAGGATGTGCATGTAGCCGTTCTTAGCCGCGAGATCCATCGCTTTGTTCGTACAGCCCTCGCGCCGGTGCTTGTGGAGGTACTTGACAATGTGAAAGTGGCCGTTCGCGGCCGCCGAGTCCATCGCGTCGGGCGTACACCCCTCGCGGCGGTGCTCGTGGAGCCACTGGACAATCTCGAGGTGGCCGCCAAAGGCCGCGCCGTTCATGGCTTCGGTCGTACAGCCCTCGTTGCGGTGCGCGTGGAGCCACTGGACGACGTGGAGGTGCCCTTTCAGCGCGGCGAAGTCCATCGCCCGCTTCGTGCAGCCTTCGCGGCGATGAGCATGGAGGTACTGTACAATGTGCAAATGGCCCGCGCGCGCCGCGTAGTCCATGGCGTCGGTCGTGCAACCAGGATGGTTGTGCAAATGGCACCAGGCCACAATGTCGAGGTGGCCATGCGCGCTCGCCTCGCTAAAGACGTACGCGTTGTACTTGAGCTGCGGGCCGCGGAACTGCAGAATGAAGAGGTTGCCGGACCGCGCCGCGAGGATCGCATTCACCCAATGCTTGGTCTTGATGCCACGGCAGTAGAGCAGGATGTGCTCAAACATGAACGGGTCGCAGAGCACGGACGCGAAGAGCGCGTCGAGCCGGTGGTCCTCGCGCCGGGCGCGCTTCGGCGACGACGTCAGCATGTGCTCGACCATGTTGACCGGCGACTTCTTGGCCTCGTCGTCCGCCGGGTGGATATAGAGCTTCTTCGTGTTCATGCCGGATCCGCTACTGCGCCCGCGCTGAACCGAATGCACTCGGTATAAAATTAGAGAGGGCCTCCACGTCGCCACCAGCTCCCTTTGGCCCGAATCATTAATAATATTGTGTTTTTTAGTTTTTCGTAGTTGCAGTGCGTTTTTTCTTATTTTTATATTTCGACTCGAGTGGTTATATACAAACTTCAGCTTTCGGACGCGACCTGCTTTTGCTGCCGGCCATAAACACGGGGAAATAGTGGTGCGAATCGAGCAAGTGCCAAAGATCGCTCGCTGCTTGGCTACTAGTACTTCTTGAGCTCTCGGTCGACTTCCGAGCTCATCATCGGTTGCTACCGGTACCGGTTTTGATAGCAAGAGATAATATAATACGTGCTGTCTTTGTCGCAGGAGCGATACGCTGGAGATTTCTGTCCAGCACCAAAGGAAGGATCGGATGCGATACCAACGCGACAGCTTTTGGAACCCATTTGACGGTCAATGTAGTAATACTACGTGGCAGCGAAGCGTTGCCGCTCATCGCTAACCATGAGGCCGATGGCTACCGGTACGAATTACGCTTCTTGTCTGCTTGTTGATCTCGCATTGCTCGTCGTCCAAAGGTTTGCGACAAGGAGCGCCTCACGTGCGATGTCCTTTATGGCGCACAAGTTCAACTTCATCCATGCCGTGACGGGCTTGCGTCGAAGGACGACACTAATTTCAGTTGTTTTTCGAATCCTATCTCTTCAATGGCACGAGATCCTCCCACAAGGAACCTTGGTGCGATCCAAGATGCGATAAGATGATCTCGAATCGATTGTATTGAGTGCTCGTATCCATCGCAGATTCCAAGCCTCCCGAACGACTCATTTACGCGACGGCTGCACAGAAATACCGTCGCACCAGGAAATACTGTGGTGTTGCAACGTTGCGAGAGCGTTTCAAAATCGTGGCTATTCGCACGCAAGTACCTCTCACATCTAATATCGCCGCTGCGAGTTACGTCCTACAAAGCTGATGACGCAATCCGAGACGCGCCGAAGTGATGGCAGCTCACGCGGCCTCGTCGGTCGCCGCCGACCGGTACGCCTGCACGCGCTTCTTGTAGCCGACCCAAATGCTGCTCGTGTACTCGATATCGGCGTAGTACTTTTCGTTTTGCTATTGACGGCACTGTGCAGGTTGCGTGCAATCAGCGAAGCGTACCTCGAGCTGCGTGTTGATCTCCTTGATGACGTCGTTCAGGCGCACAACCGAGCCTGTGATGCGCGTCAGCAGCGCCTTGTGCTTCTCCTCGTACGGATCTACGGCGTGTCGTCTTAGCGCCTCGACGGCCACGCAACGTACTCTTCATCATCGTGCTCGAAATGTGGGCTGTCCGGATACTGGCCGTCTATTCGGTCGATCAGCTAATCACACGCAACTTTGGTTTCTTTCACACTAGCTCTGCAACCCAGAACGTTGACTCCAACTACCAGCACTAGTGTCTAGTACTGCGCAGCATGGACGTACAAAGAGTATCTCTTCTAGGTGTAGCACCATGGCCTTCGACGACGCCGAGCGTACTTGGATGTTTCGCCAAATGTGCTGGACAGGGCGGCGAAAACGCTCAAATGGCATTGGGTCGTATATCCATCGAGCCGACGTCGCTCCGTAGTAGTGGGTCGTTGGCGCTCGTATTACTCGCATGGATGAAGCATTCGACTGCAGTTGGAGTCGGTTGAGCCGGTGGATTCGAAAATCGAAGCATTGACATCGCGCCTAGCGTACCATCATTTTAACAAAGACCATGTCGAGCACAGACCTCCGCGCCCAAGGCAACGACGCGTTCGAGGCCAAGCGGTACGACGAAGCCGAGGCCTTGTATGCAAAAGCGATTCTACAAGACCCGCGGCAACATGTACGAATTCGCCTCTCTGTCGCACGATTGAACGAGACACGTAGGCGCTCTTCGGCAACCGATCGGCCGCCCGCTTCCACCTTCAAAAGTTTGACGACGCGCTGCGCGACGCCGAAGCGGCGATCGCACTCGACCCGCAGTGGGCCAAGGTACCCACCACCGTGGATTAGGGTTACAGAGATGGGGGTAGGGGTATTTTCGGCAAGGCCAGGCCCTCGAGGCCTTGGGCCACCTTCGCCGCGCGCAAACTGCGTACGAACACGCCGCTACGCTCGGCAGCAAGACGCGCGAGGTGCAGGCCAAGATCGCGTCGACCAAAAAGCTCGCCGACAAGATCGACCGCGAGGTCGAGCCGACTGCATCCACCTCTCGAGTCTTACGGCCTGCTAGAAAACGATCCGGACGCGGGACGAGTGGAAGCAAGTGTACACGCACTTGTCGGGTACAGATTGGACGACATACGACAGAAGACATCGTGGTTTGTAGATACCAAGATGCGCCTGGGTCTGCTCGTGGCCTTTTGGAACCAGTCGAGCAAGCCGGAGCGGTTCGCGTTCTTTATGCGGTTCCTCGAGCTCCTCGCGGGGGGCAGTGCCCGTACGTCTTACCTTTGTCATTTTAACGCAAGAAGGACATGTTGTCTCTTCTTCGTAGCCAGCCGCATCTCCAAGTACGCGTCCGACGACATGGAACCGATCCCGGCCGGCAACTACGAAGAGCTCTTGATTCCCGGTACGCAGCCATAAAGTCGAAGGCGCAACCCACCACGGCTATCGGTAGCGCCGTGGACAGCGTACTTTGCGCGTCTGGACCTGGCCAAGAAGGTAATACACGTGGCTGCGGGTATTGTCGGGACTGAAGGAAGCCGCGCAGGCTGAAATGATGCAAGACATGTACCTTCTCGCGACGCCGGCCGAGCAAACCACGATCGTCAACGACATGAAGTACCTCATGCACGAGCTCTCCGGTCGCGCCAAGACAGCCGAGAACGACGAGAACGACAATTAAGAGTGCAAACGAGAACGAGGCTCCATTGTCTTATTTCTGCTTGGAATCAAAGCGGGAAATGCAGATCGCAAACGCTTGGAGCATCGAGAGCGGGTATTGGAAGTCCATGTTGAAGCAGTTTTGGCCGACGCGGCCCATCTGCAGGAGCACGTGCTCTTGGGGCACGCTCACCGTGCCTTCGTCGTCGTAGTGGTACCCCGGGTGCGCGGCAATGTACGCGTCGCGGTACCGGTCTTGGTCGAGCGGCTGCGAGTGCACCATTTGAAAGTTCTTGACCGAGACGCACGTCGCCCGGCTGCGAAAGTCGACAATGCACGACGAGAGCGGGTCGTACTGCGTCTCGCGCTTGTGCATGCAGATAAACTTGTCGGCCTCGACCACGTTCTCGCCGCCCTATTTTTTCTTTTTCGTATCAACTTGATACATGGCGACGTGCCTTTTCGGAAATCTCGCTAAAGAGCGTTTCCATTGCTTGGTCGCGCGTGATGGGGCGCCAATCCAGGTACCCCGTGCCGGTCTCGTTGATGGACGGAATGATGACCTCCATCTTGCGCGGATGGTCCTACAATAAACGATTCAGTACCATGCATTTGCTACGACCACGACCTTTTTCATGTTGTGGTAGCGAATGATGCACAATTGCGCCCGAATATGCTGGCGAATCTCGTCGTCAATCTCGCAGTCCGAGTCAATGTCCTCCGGGTTGTCGCCTTGGTCAAAGAGCGCGTACTCCATCTTGCGCGTGTCCGACCGAAGCTTCCCGAGAAACTGCTTGCTGCGCATCGCGCGCGACAAAAAGAGGTCTTCCCTACCACAGCAACACCTTTACTATCAATCTATCAAGAAGGCGACGGCCACTTGTTGAGGCTAAACACAAAGTGCGACGAGAATTGGCTCGTCGCTTTTTGCCGACAGTACAAGATGGGCCGGCCGCTCGAGCTGTTGACTTCGACCAAGAGCGTGTACACGGGCGAGAGCTACCCAATCAAAGTCTTCACATCCCGAATCGCTCTCCAATATTAGGTGCAAGAAGACGACGTACGCGATTTTGGCCCACGCGATTCCGCTCAATAAAGCACTTGAGCACATGGCCGCGCCCGGCTTCAAGCGGCCGCGTCACAAAGTCCAGCAAGTGGTTGGGGACATACGGCACGCGCTTGGGGTTGAAATACTAGCAGCAACCCGGTGGATGACGACGAATCGACGCACATACAAAGTGTGCACCTCAAAGACTTTTTTGGACTCGTCGACGGTCTTGGCTTTGGTTTTGCGGGGCTTTCTTGGCTTGGCCTCGACGGACGGTTCGGTTTCGTCGTCGTCGTCACCGTGCATGCTCTGTTTCGCGTCGTCGTGGGCCTCCTCCTGCTTGCTTTCGAGGACGCGCCGATCGAGGTCTTCCTTGCCCATGGATTCGAGCTGCTTCATTTCGCTGTAGAGCGCGTCGGCCAGCGCCGTCTTGGACTTTGGTAGCTGCTGCTGCTGGGTGGGATGACTGCGGCCGCTCGCATTGTTGTCCCCACTGGGCTCGTCAACGTTGTCGTTGCTGTGGGTCGTGCTGCGGGGTGCCGCCTTCTCCATTACAATCTCTGGGTCCTTCGCCTCGTCGTCGTCCTTGGCTCCCGCGGCGTCGAGAAAGGGAATCTCCTCAATGTCGTCGTCAAGGCTCGCTTCGAGTATGGGCTTGGCCAAGACGACGTCGGGCTGCTTCTTCACATGCCGCGTCACGGTCAACGTCTCTTCGTCGTCGACGTGGCGCCGGTTCGACGAGCTCATGGGCGCTGCCTTGCCCGTCGTCGGCCCCATCGTCATGGGGGTAAACACGTCTTGGTGTTTTGGCTGCAGTGCGATTTCTTCCATGAGCGCTGTCGTGTTCTTGCGCACGACGCTGCTCTCGTTGCCATCGTTGAGCAGCTCGGCGATGGTGCGCCGCTTGGGCGGAGCTGCCGCGGCGGGTGCCGACTTTGGGGCTGGAAAGACTGGCTCGTCCACGGGTGCGGACGAGGAGGAGGACGCCAAAATGTCGACGTGCGGCGGTGGCGCCTTCTTGATGACCTTCTTCTTTGGCTTCTCGACTTCAAGCGAGGGCTCGGTCTCGGCCTTGGCCTCGTTCAGCGGCGGCGACGTAGGTGGCGGCGCCTTGGACGGTGGCGGCGGCTTCTTCTTAGGCTTGGGCTTGGCCTCGAGCGTGGCCTCTTCGTTGGTGCTGCCCTTGGCATCCGCATCGGCCAGCTCGGGCGGCGGCGCCGACGATGGCGGAGGAGGTTTTTTCTTGGGCTTTGGTTTCTCGCCCTCGCCTTCCTTGCTGCTGCTGTCGGCGAGCGCTGCCGATCGGATCTTCTGCACCGACGCGTTGACTTTGGGCTGCGGCGACGACGGCGGTGATCCGTTCGTCTTGGCGCGGAGGGCCGCCGCCGCCGACTTGGGTGGCGCGCCCGACGGCGGCGGCGGCGCCTTCTTCTTGGGCTTCTTGACCGCGTCCACCTACTCATCGACGCTTTACACACATGAGACGATGGCGCTGCGTACGCTGTCGTCGGCCTTGGGCGGTGCCATCTTGGGCGGGCCCTTGGTCGCCCGTGGCCTGCGCAGAAGACACGATGAGCGCCATGCGCTCGGTCGGCCACGTACATGACGGGCGCGGTCTCGGCGTCGGACGATGGATCGTCGATCGGCTTGCCGTCCATGCTGCTAATCGTTTCGCAACTCCCACCTCGTTGGATCTTCCGGCGTTTCGACACTATTTGCGTGCGCGTTGCGTCCAATATAATATCAAGTTTTCAAATAGTCATAGATTTGCAAGCGGGTACTTATGCACGCGCCTCCGGGCACCCAGCGCCCGGCACGCGGGTCGCAATGTCCTCGACCAGCTCGTCCGACAAGCGCTGGTTCTACCGCACACACAATATCAGCGCCCGTATCAACGTATCAAGGTCGTGGATGTACCTCCATGAACGAACGCATGTGCAAGATGGGCGCAACACCAATCTCCGAGATGGTCTTGCCGTGGATGCGCTCGCTGTACGTCTGCGGGTGGTACGCCGCGAGCGGGTCGGTCGGCGCGCTGAGGTCGACGCCCTCGACCACGTCAAAGAGCGCGTCCAAGTCGTTCATCTTCATGAACGGGCACGTCGCACAGCCGCCGGCGGTCGAGCAGCCCTCGCCGCCCTGGACACCGGGCACGACATTGTTCTCGTCGTCCTTGGCGATCGCATCGGCGGCGACCGGAAAAATGATTTCCACTTGCGGCGTCGCCGAGCCCTTGCTGGCCTGGAGCGTCTGCTGCACGCCGCGCACGATGGACGTGATCATGCCCGCCTCCGTGCCGAGGATGAAGCGCAGCTTCTCGCCCGAGTTGGCTGCGATCGCGTCGTTCGTCTTGGCCTTGATAAAGTTGAGAATGTTGGACGTCGACCCGACGACGCCGCGGCCCTCGTTCTGGGCCTCCATCGCCAGCGTAAACATCTCGCCGGGCACTTCAAAATGTGCCGTTTGGTACACGTCGCTGTACTGCTCCCGGACACGCTGCGTGACCTAATCGCATCGACGTGCATCAGAAAAAATGGACAAGAATCGTCCGAGTACCTTGTCGCCAAACATGTGGTGCACGACGCAGTTGCCTTCCTTGAAGTAGTCAAAGCGCTTGAGGAGCGACGTAATGCTAGTAGTACAAAGCAGCATGAGGCGTCAAGCCTCTCGATCAAAGACAACATACGTCTTGCTCGTGTGCTTGGGGTGGATCTGGCGGATCTTGTCATCGGGCAGTGTCGCCAAGTGGCGGAACATCTGCTCGAGGTTCTCGCCCATGTACGTATCAGGGCCATACCTAGTATTCAAAAAGCACATCTCAGCCATTGCTAAGAACCGAGAGGTCGTCGTACCAGATGTTGAGGCCCGGGATCTGCGCATCGGCGTGCAAAATCGTCTGGACGACGTTGGACGAGGTGCACGTGATGGTCGGGATGATGTTGTGGGCCCACGCCTTGCTCTTGAGCGACGTGTTGATGTAGACGACGTGGAGGCTATTGGGCGTCATCGCGGCTTTCGTCAGGTACGCCATGTACGCAGCCTTCTCGGCCGACTCGGCCAAGCTGCACCCAATCTTCTTCTTGGAGAGACGGTAGACAGGAATGTCGTGGAAGCCGTTCGAGTCCAAGTTGGCGCGGACGCTTTCCGACATAAAGTCGACGCCGAGGCACGCGACGGCCTTGGCGCCGTTCTTGGCCATGACGGCCGCGGCTTCGCCCATCGCAAGCGAGTCGGCGACGAGCGTGTGCGGCCATTGGAGCGACGAGAGGACGCCTTGGAGCTCCGGGTCCATGTAAAAGTGCGCCACGATCCCGAGCTTCTTCTTCGCGAGGAGCGCGTCGAGCTCCTTCACGGACGCCATGTTGGGCTGCAAGTACGTGGCTTGGGCCTCGGCAAACGAGCCTTGCGCCGACACGCTGTCCTTGGCAATCTACACAGAAAAAGCGTGTCAGATTGCGTGTCGCCTGGCATGCGCAGCGTACGAGGATGGACGGGAAGGGCTTCTCCCAGGCCGACGAGAAGTGGCGGGCAGCGGGGCGGCGGAGGACACGGGCGCGGGCGGCGACGAACATGGCGACGTGCGTGGCAAGGCGCAAGATGCAAACTGCTTTCGGCGACGCCCAAGGTCGACAGTGCCATGTGGCAACGTACATTAATATACAATGTATTAAATGGAAATGGCAATTGCATATATTAATACCAAGTGTAGAAGTGCGAAAACAATAAAATACTGCATTAAAAGACACCTGCTACTTCAAGCCGTGCGAGAACCCTACCCTACGCGCCGGAATATCAGCCAATCAGAGGCGTTTCCAAAGGGCAAAAGACTGGTCTCCGATGAGTCATCGGCCACTTGGTGGGGCGAATGACTCAGCGGCCGCCGTCCATACAAACACCAAGTACACGACAGGCCGCCATGCTGCCGAATGACCAAGATGGCTGCGCTCTCGACTAGAATAGACGAGCTGCGAAGCCATGGCGAAAACAGTCAGCACCCATCGTGGTGAGCTCGACAACGTCGGATGCCATTCCTCAGTAGTTGGACAATAGTACGAGCGTCCGAGGCAAAGCTACGACGAGTGCATGCCTCTTTGTCCTACATGCGCGAGAACGGAGACCGCGTCTCCACCCGTGCATGGAGTTGGCATTTGAAGGCTTGGTGCACATAGCATACTGTGCTTGTATGTAGTTGATGATTTGGAGTTGCCTACGGGAGAAGGCCACAGCCGAGCGTACTCTCTCGAGGGCCGGCCCGCGCCACCGGCCAAGCCTACAGATTGAGGTTACGAGTCTCCAAGGTAGTATCGCTGACGCGAGTAAGCAAGAGGTTGGGAGCCTGGGTTGCGCGAATTTGGCCCGGGGCTCGACCAGGACTCGACTACCACATTGGCTCGTCGATACGCGACACAACACACACTAGAGAGAGATGTGGTACTGATTACAAGGTCGTCGTCGGATGGCGTTCGAAGGCCCTTTAATGCGAGAGGCACGTGCAGCTGAAACGCACCAGCAGCTCGGTATTGTGCGTGGGCAAAGTCGAGGATATCGCGCACAGACATTTCGCCCACGGTCATGCCGTCATTGAAGATGCACCACTGGCGAGTCGCATCCGGTGGCTGCGTCCACGACGAGCAGTCAAGTGGCAGCTTCAACAAGTCGATGTTCGCATGGCTCTCGCTCGTGAGAAAGCGGGTCACGAGCTCCTTCAAGGTCGCATTTAAAGCATCGAAATCGGGCGATATCGGAAGGCCCTTGAACAGATGTAGCACATGCCCCGCCAGCGTCACCCCGTGCAAGGGGTCGTCCGAGTCGGACACAGTAACGAGTTTGTAGTTTGTATTTATGACGAGTTGGCCGCCCAGCTCTTCCGACCAGTTGCAGTGGACAACGACCAAGGGTACATAAATTCAATTTGAATTTATGTACCCTTGACAACGACGCAGGAGCCACGCAGACGTCAGTATAGAGGTACGTCCCTACGCCCGACTTGGCTTCGGTCTTGTCGACGAGATGTTGCCGGTTAATACTCCGTCGCCTCGGAATGTGATAGCCATATCGTGGTGAGGTTGGTGGGCTTGCAGCGCGCCGACTCGACGTTGCGGCCTGTCCGCTGCGGCTTCATGGCTCACTGTTCCCCGTTGCGCATGGCCTTGGGCTCGACGTAGACATGGTGTTGCGTGCAAAAGGTGGCGGGGGACACCAGCGCGCAGAAAGTCTCGCGGGGCATGGAATGGGAAGATTGGCAACTGCTAGCGCCTCCTGCTCTCTGATTGGCTTGGATCCCAGATCTCCACCAATCAAAGCGACGCAGGCCGAAACAAAAGCATCCCCTAAAGATCATGCCTTGAGATAAGCGCTAAAGAGGAATACGAAGTATAAGGCGATGACGGCTAGAAGCGGACCGTACTGGTCACATCAATCAGTAGAAGATCGCAACGGCGACCAATTTGCCATCATTTTGGCGTCATTTCGTCGCTCGCAAAGGAATATACTGATATGTGTATGCTTTCGGGAGTAATAAAATGCAAATCGATATTTCCGTTGGTCCAATCAGAACGCGTGTTGCCTAGAGACGAGCCAATCAAAGCGTGAATATAGGATCCGCCTGAGTAACGACGTCGGCCGCGACAGCTCGCCACGTAACAATCACTATCGACTCGATGACCCACGACTGCATCATCTGCAGGCGCGTTGTGGGAAGCGTAAGGACACGGGCGCTGAGATCCGTCGGGCCATCCAAGCAAGCCAAATTGTACAAAAACGCGTCAACGAGAAGCTCTCGTTCATAAACGGCGCGTCACAAGCAACGGTTGATACGTCGAGCAGCAGTGACGGGGCGGTTCTCTGGAGCTTGTAGCTTCTTCTAGTCTACAGCAATGTGTGCTGGAGCAAAGGCATAGCGCACGACGTGTCTTTGCGTGGTATCGGATGCGACTTGACTGTGAGCTTGAGCAAGAAATTTTCATTATGGACTATCCAACACGTATCCAGTATTTCGAAGCAATTGTCCACTTTGCAAAGCTCGTTGCTCGATTTTCAGCGAATCGTTGGGCTGGTTTCGGCCCGACAAACTGCAAATTGAGAGAAGGATTGCGACGGCAGAATATATTTGCTGGCATCTGCTTCTGATGAAATTTGATGTCCATCGCGACACATCCAAGAACGACGCCAAGGAAGGCTGTGCTGGTTGTGCACCTGCCGGCGATCTCGCGCGGCGAGGCCGTGCACGCTTGCCCACGAACTCTGCATCGTATCATTTGGTGGTTGTCCTCTGAACGCTAACGATTCGCACCTCCTTCCAAATGCTGATGGTCCTAAGGCGCCAAGCCATGGTTGTCTGGGAGAATGGTCACTTCAACGTACAATGATCGTCAGTGATGGTTCTGAAAGCAGCGTCGCAGCGAGGATGACGCTAGTGAGTTCCATCGTCGCAAGTGGCGAGCGAAGAGAGGATCGGGCGCCCACATACATCAATCAGTGCGGCGCTATGGCTCATCCTCTTGCCGCTGTGCCATCTACAATGGGTCTGTCCTTACAGACACCCATATATCGTCCTCTTTGGGCCTTGAAGTCGTGGCACCAAGAACGTCCAACTCTGACGATCGCGAAGCTTCCGACATCATCGGCCCACGCAGCGTGTCCACTACGAGCTCCTTGCCCGAAAGACCACTGTTCTCCAGTGTCGTTTTCATACAGAAAGCTGGAGTCGGGATTATTTTCTAAAACAATCATCCATCACGACCCGCTTCGTTCCTCCGACCGCACGCGTGGTGCCAGTGGTCATAGGTGCCTTCGAACTTCGATCTCGACTTCGCGCCCGGTTTCCTTCGAGCGAAGTTCGAAGGCGCACCTGCGACAAGCGTCGAAGTACAGTGTAGTGATGTTCGATAGAAAGTGCAAAGTAAGTGAGGACGTTGGTCACATCGAGTGCACCTTTGAACCTGTGGTGGCCGCCAGAGAGGCCAGTACACTGTACGACGACGGCCTCAATTCGCGTGCTGCCTGGCTTCTCGTGTACGACTCCTACTGCATACTACATAGTGCTATGGACGCCATTCCTCGAATTCGGCCGCCGATGAAAGGTCGCACCCACCGCGGGTCTGCGGTCGCAAGAGGCTTTGACGCGCCGCGCGTCCTGCCCCAGCCGCACCGCGTCGTCGTGTGCGGCGGCGGCATCGTCGGCCTCGCCACGTGCTACTACCTCGCGCGCAAGGGCCACGAGGTCGTCTGCATCGAGCGCGAGGCCAGCATCGGCTGCACCGCGTCGGCGGCCCACGACGGCACGTACTTTGACGCGACGCTCTACTCGAGCTGGGCCGACATGTCGCTCTTGTACCAGAAGCACCACGCCAAGCACAAGCCGTTCCGCGTCCACCCGCGCGCGTGGCTCGACCCGTCCTTCTGGTCCTGGGGCGTCAAGTTTATGCTCAACATGTCGAGCAAGAAGGCCAAGGACAACATGCGCAAGACGCGCGACCTCGACTTCTACAGCCAGCGCAAGCTGCAAGAGCTCTTCCGCATGTTTCCCGAGCTCGAGGACGAGCTCGACTCGGTCGCCGAAGGCACGCTCGAGCTCTTTGCGTCGGCGAGCACTGCGGACGAGATTATGGACTCGGACCGCATCAAGCACAGCATGGAGTACCGGTACCCGCTGACGCCCGTCGACAAGACCGAGGGCCTCGAGATCGAGCCGGCGCTGCGCCCGGACGCGATCCGGCTCGGCGCCATGTTCTCGCCGATTGGCACCAACGGCGACGTCCACAAGACGTGCCTCGCGCTCGCGCAGCTCTGCAAGCGGCACGGCGTCATGTTCCGCTGCAACACGGAGATCGAGGACGTCCTCGTCGTCGACGACCGCGTCGTCGCCGTCCAAGTCCGCAACGGCGACCTCATCGAAGGCGACTCGTTCGTGCTGGCGCTCGGAAACCACACGTCGGCGGTCGCCAAGCTCGCCGGCGTCAAGCTGCCCATGTACCCGATCAAGGGCTACGTGCTGCGCGTGCCGACGACGGCAAATGCGACGCCGCTGAAATGCAACGTCTACGCGGGCGGCCAAGCGCTCATCTCGCCCGAGCGGGACGACATGGTTCGCATCTCGGGCGGCGCCGACATCACGGGCTTCAACTACAAGAAGGACGCGAAGCGCATTGCGTCCTTGCTGGCGCACGCCAAAAAGTGCTTTCCGGACGGGTACCTCGACGAGGCCAAGATGACGACGCAGGTGTGTCTGCGCCCGGTCAGCGCCGACGAAGTGCCGTTGATCGGCCAGACGCTGGTCGAAAACCTATTTATCAACGCCGGCCATGGCTCGAAAGGCTGGACGCTTGCCTTCGGCGCCGGCGCGCTCCTCGCCGACCAGATCAGCGGCCGCGCGCCCGAGATCAACATTGAAAAGTACTCGCCGCTGCGGTTTGGCCTCTTTGCCACGCAGCAAACCCAGCCCTAGTTTTAGATAGACGCCCTATGAAAATTTATTCTCTTATTTAGTTGACACACCACCATCGTCTTCTTGTCGTAGTAGAATAGTATGCCATCAAACGACCGTCGCCACAACAGCAACAACAATCAAGTACCGAGATCTTGAGAGCGTGTCCAGACCCATGTCGTTGGTAACACGACATGTCCACACGCACCAGTGGGACGCCCATCAAGCACGCATATTGCGCCTTGGCACTGGCCTCTTCGCGGCGACCACCAATTTCGCCCGCCATCGCACGTAATGCATGTTACGCCGCTCGCTTGAAGTTGCCGTCGGCGACACTTGGAGAGAGTGGACTGCTAAGATCGACTAGAGGATTAGTACAACATGGCGCTTGGAAATTTTCCCGCGACCACAGGAACGCCCGCCCGCACACGTGTCTCGGGTCGGGACATGTCAGCCTCAAGGAAGAGCGCCGTGTCGGACAACCGAAGCGCGGGCCGGACCTTGTCACGGGTGCACGGGCATTGGTATATGTAGCATCGCATCAGCGGGTTCTCCTGGCCGTACGTTGCTTCCTCGCATCACTGCATCTTCCTGACGCCACACCTTGTACTCTCTTTTTCTGTCGGGCACCCAAGGTTTTAGGGAGTGTCGGAGCGTGGGATCGAAGCGTGGACCACTTGTCACCGCGGTCGCACTGAGTTGGTAGTACCGGTATCATGCGTTGACTGGACCGAAAAGGGCGACGACGATGCGTACATGTAGTAGTAGCTCTGCTTTGATTCTACCGAGGCTGACGGACGCGTTGGACACGGTACGTGTCGCGGACCCAATATTGCGCGAGGAAATACATATTAGAGCTTAAACTAAGGACGCAATCGTGGCCTAAAAAGAGTGGAAAAGGGATGGTGCGGGTCTTCCATCGACCCGATATGGTGGGCATGTTTCGTGTCTAACTAAAGAGGCCGAAGCGCAGCGGCGAGTACTTTTCAATGTTGATCTCGGGTGTTCGCCCGCTGATTTGGTCGGCGAGGAGCGCGCCGGACCCGAACGAGAGCGTCCAGCCCTTCGAGCCGTGGCCCGTGTTGACGAAGAGGTTGTCGACCAGCGTCTGGCCGATGAACGGGACGTCGTCGGCGCTCACTGGTCGCAGACACGCGTGCGACTCGAGCTTGGACTCGTCGAGGTACGTCTCGGGGAAGAGGCGCTTGGCCTGCTTCAAGAGCCACTTGACCCGCTTCGGATCGCTCTTGTAGTTGAAACCGGCAAAGTCGGCGCCGCCCGATATCCGCAGCGAGCCGTCGGCCATGGGCGACACGAGTGCGTTCCCACCGGCGTACACATTGCACGTGAGCGGCGGGAAAGCTTCGTTGCGCGGGACACTGAGCACATAACCCTACCCCGCGTCGAAATTAGGTCGACCGACGAGATATGAAAAGTACGACACCTTGACGGGGTACATGGGCAGCTTGACGCCGGCGAGCTTGGCGACCGCCGGTGTGTGGTTGCCCAAGGCAAGCACGAACGAGTCACCTTCAATGAGGTCGCCATCGTGGGCTTGAACAGCGACGACGCGGTTGTCGACGATGAGAATGTCGGTGATGTCCGTGTTAAAGCGAAACATGACGCCGTGCTGCCGGCAGAGCTGCCACATGGCCAGACACGTCTTGTGCACATCGCCTACATGATCGCAATGAGTCGAAAGGACGGGCAGCGACAACTGATGCACCGTTGGTGCCGGTGGCCGAGTAGATGGCGCCTGGCGCAAGCACGGAGGCGGCGAGCGCTGGCTCGACACTAGCCGCGTCCTTGGCGTCGAGCGGCTGCAGCGGGAGGCGGTACTCCATGCAGTGGTAAATGCGGTCCGAGTGCATCACCTCGTCGCGCTCGGCGGTCGATTCGAAGACTTCGAGCGTGCCTTCGGCGGTCTGTTCCATGGCTTCTTCGATCTCGGGGTGCATGCGGATGAGCTCGTCGAGCTTGCGCTGACTGTAAAAGCCGAGGTCGCGGATCTTGCGGCCATTGTCTTTGGCCCGGCGGCTCGTCGCGCTCGTCATGAACTTGAGACCCCACGACCAGAACGCCGGGTCCATCCACGCTGCGGCCTCGATGCGAAAGGCCTTTTGCTTCGACTTGGGCGACGACGAGGCGTGGGTCTGCTTGCGATAGAGCACAGAGAAGTCGGCCCAGCTGCTGTACAGCGTCGAGTCGAAGAACGTGCCGTTCTTGAAGGACGCGAGCATGCCGACTTGGCTTTCCTTTTCGATGCACACGACTTCGTGGCCGCGCTTGGCGAGGTAGTAGCACGTGGTGAGGCCGATGATGCCGCCGCCTAGCACAACGACGCGCTGGTGGCACGTGGCCGATCGGGGCGGCGCGTCGATGCCACGCATGGCGGCGGACGACCGGTGGTTCTTGCTGGCGCTCATGTCAAAGATGGAAGATGGCCACGAAGACGGGCGGGCCGAGGACGCGAGCGGGAGCCAAGTAGCTGGAGGTGTCGAGGTCGTCGTCGTTGTCGTCGTCGTCGTCGGGAGATCCTTGGCGGCGGATCTAGTACACTGGAGAAACCACCGACTTGTACTGTACTTTGCCCGAGGTTTCAGTGCTCGCGGTTTGTAATTTTATCGAAGGACCAATCACGAGGCCGGAAATTCCAGACACCTTGCCGAAATTCGGCTTTTGCGGCACATGCCACGTTTAAGAGGGCATCACCAACGTGCACGATCTATGTCGAGATGACGCTGGCTATCTTCATTGCGCTTCCAAATATGGCTTTGGACGCTGAGAGCGGGCTCGTCATCGAACCTTCTCGGCGCTGGAATTAGATGCGAACGGACGGGCCACACGGTTGCACACGAGCGATTTTAAAGCCCTCGGATCGCGTTGAAGCTCATCGGAGAATCGCCGTCACTAGTGTAGTACGGTATATACTGTAGTCGACTGCGGAAGAGTAAAGCCATGTCATACGACGTGTCATCCACCGTCGCAACCGACGCTTGCGACACCAGCGACGAGGCCAACGCATCCATCCATCCACTCGATACAATCCCGCCACCAAAATGCGACCCAGAGACGCGGCAACTCGATGCCGAATGCTAGCGTCCAATCATCGGCATGTGCCTAATTAGGACGTTGGCCAAAAGTTGAAGCCAAGCGTCTGGTCGACGAGCTCTTCTTTCAGTATCTTTCATCGCCCGAGCATGACCGTCGATTGCCGCCAGCGCCGATGGAGGAGAGAGTAGCTCATGGCGACTGGTCAGAGGACCGACCAGGATGATCGGCGACTGCATAGCTGTTTAGTAGCTGTGGCCAGGCGTCCATGGTCCGGGAAACCAGTTGAGCAATGCAGTAATCTGCGCGCCCGTCCATGAGTAGCGTGCGTAGCGCTGCCTCTTCTCGGCCCGCAACGAACCACCACCATCGGTCGCTATTGGGTCTTGATGTGGATCGAGTTCTGGAGAGAAGAGCGCACTGGCCCTCGTTCGACGAGCAGCCAGTACGTAGGCACGACACCAACGATTCAGCGAGCAGCATCATGGCTCTAGAGTGGTCAGGGTGCTAGTAACCAGCCGCCTACCCGCGCCATCGCTCTGCGTACTCGGTCCACGAAATGGGACACGGGTTGTTCGATATTTTGTGTCTCTTGGCGGCTTCGATATTTTTATCCGGAAAGATCGTGCCACGCGGCGAGATGACCAGCGCCGAGCTCGCCAAGCTCCTCGGCGCCGGCGCCGCCGACGAGTACTCGTGCGACGTCCTGCTCGACGAGCTCTGCGCGACGACCGGCGACCTCCACAGCTTGGACGCGGTCTTTCAAGCGACGATCGACAAGCTCGCATCGCAGCGCCACGTCATCAACGCACGGATTGCGGAGCTCACCAAGCAGAACGCCGTGGCCGCGGCCAAGTACCACGACAACCTGCGCGAGCCGGAGCGGCTGCTGCATGTACCGCCCTCCATTGCGTCACGTGGGCGATATCTACGTACGGATGCTGGCGTAGACAGTGTGTGGCGAGATGGACGAGCTCGAAGATCGGTTCACCAAAGTAAGCTCGTCGGCCGTCGTCATTGGTACATCCTAGCGCTCAATAATGCTGTATATATGCATATCGATCCCACGCGCTAGGCGATCGGCTCGCCATCATCGACAAGGAAAAGTCCCGCGCCCTCGAGACGAACGAACTCCTCGAAGTCATTCAGCTGCTCAATGCGCCGCCGAGCTCCAAGAAGACGACCAACAAGCTCTACAATACCCTTCGTGACCCGACCCAGATACACGACGTGCGCCCGCGCGATCGTATCCTTGGTGCCTCATACACTTTGGCGTAGGCGTGCCGTGTGCTCAAGAAGCTGCAAGAGTTTGCTGAGGAGCTCACGCCGTCGGCCGCAACCCAAGGCGCCGTCGCCGAGATCGACCGGCTCACACAAAGCATCGAGACGGACCTCCTTAACGGTTTTAGTGACGCGCAAGAGCAGGAGCTTCGCGGCGTTGGCAACTCGCAGGATTTCGAGACGATGCAGCTCAACGTCCAGTCGCTTCTTGCGTACAATGGCAAGGACAAGGTTGCCGACCGCTACGTCTGGAACATCATCAAGGAGCGACTCACCAAGTACCGACGTCGACCGTCGTATCACGCTTGGTCAATAGGCGCGTTGATGTAGGAACCAGCTGTCGCTCGACTCAGTGGACCCGGCACAGGACATGGACGCACTCTGCACCAAGCTGCGGGCGATCTGCAAGCAGCAATTCGCAGTCGTGCCACGCATCTTTCCAAATAGCGTCGTCGCGTACGTCCGGGAAACCCTCGTGGCGCGGCTGTACCACGACCCTGCCTTCGGCATTTTGTCGCATTTGGAGCGCCTCTTGACGACGACGCCCGCCCAAGCCTACGTCGAGACGCTGGCGTGGACGTTTGAGAAGACGGAGACGCTCACAGACGCGATTGCCGCGCTCATCGATGACGTCAGCCAACGCCCGCGCATGGACGCTTTCCTCGAGGCCCAGCTGCAGACGCTTTTTGGCGCCCACCGCGCCAAGTACATTTCGATCGAGCTCGAGCTCCTCGAGACGGCATTTGCGACAGCGTTGCACAGCGTGCAGTTTCCCGTCGTGCCCTTCGGCAAGCACAATAAGAACAAGCTCAAGGCATCGACCAGTGACACGCCGCCGTCGAGTCCGTCCTCGGCGGCCAAAGCGGACAAGACCAAGGCCGAGAAGCAAGATGTGCTGTTTTACGAGTCGCTGCTTCCGATTGCGCAAGATGTATCGGTGCCCGCGCGCTTTGCCGCAGCGCTCGCGGTTCGAGTCGGAAGAGGGTTAGGGTTATGTGTCATGCATTTGGCGTAGGCGGCGACGGCCCGCTGCGACATTGTCTTGCACAAGAGCGACCTCCTCGTGGACTTTTACGTCAAAGCATTCGGTCTCTACTGCGCCACAATCGGCGATGCATATCTCTCGGTACGTCTCGAAAATGCCGAAATGATGAAAATTACTGAAAAATACTGAAAATGCGGAAACATTCGAGTAGAAAATGTGCAATCTCGCGCACGAGCTCGTACAAGAACCACTGCTCTGCATGGAGTCGGCAACGCGCTTCTTCGTCATTCTCAAGGTACTTGTCGACGCGTATGATGATCGTAGGCACGAAGGACCCGCGTAGCATTTGATTGGCCACGTGTCAACGTTTGACCGTCAGTACCACGCGAGCATTGCGCCAGCGCTGACGAGTGCCCCGACCGTTCAAACGTGCGTTGGCGAGATCAACGACTTGCTTTTTGGATTTACGTGCGAGGATAGGGTCTGCGTGGAAGCCAAACGCACGACGCTCGAAACACTCGAAGGCCACGTGGCCTTTGGCTTGCAAAAGACATTTTTGGCCATCGAGAAGAGCCTCGTCGCCATCTTGAGGTGCGTAAGAGCACATGCGCATGTCCTGCATCCTACGTCCCTCAGTGCGGCGCAAGACAAGTCGGACTTTCTCAGCAAGACGGGAGCCATGTCCTTGTCAACGACCAAGGCGTGCAAGCAGGTCGTGGCGTACCTCTCACCGCTCCTGACGGTGGCTGCCGACGCGCTCGTGTGTCTATATTTCCCATCTTTCAATGTTTCAACCATATCAGCAATTAGGAGCTCACGAACCGCGTGCAATTTATCACGGGCCTCACAGCCATCTTCAAGGACACGCTTATCCAGCACATGAAGCGGTTCAAGTTTGATCCAGACGGCGCATGCGTCCTCCTCACGTAGACCGTCTAGTATCAACTTGATAGTTTCGAAAAACGATTGGATGTTAGGGACATAAGCGCCTACCGCCAAGTGTTTCGGCCGCACCGCAACCCGTCCGTGGACGCCAACTTTGATTTTCTCCACGGACTCGCGAACCTCTACGCCTTGCCTCGCGACTCGCTCGTGAGCTACGTGAACGAAGGCGGCATCGCGGCGACGCTCGGGAAAACGTCGCTCCACGAGCTCATCCGCCGGCGCTGGGACTACAAGCTCAACGGCGACAAGATTCCGATTTGAATCGTCCACTGGCTACGTAGTATCGATAGATACGCGTTAGGTTTGCGTCGCCATGCCATCACCGTTTGTTTCTCTCCGAATACTACGTGATATGTCACAATGCAATGCGACATTTCGTTGTCAAGTTCGACGTCGTGCGCGATGCGGACGATGGATGAACCAGGACGGGCACGAATCCGGTCGCTTTCGTTGGACAGACGAGAGAACGACACAAAAAACAAGGTTACAAGCTACGGGAATAGAGCTCGTTCTTGACGGCGGCCGACCGTTCTTCGAGGCGCTTGGAGTTGGGCGGGTCAATCTTGATCGTGTAGTTGTACCGGCGTCGAAAGTCTTTTTTTCCGTCAAGCTCCGAAGCGCAAAGTAGTACTTGGCGTAGACCGAGCCCGAGATGTAGAGGTCCCACTGGATGTAGTGCAGGAAGAGGCGCTCGAGGCGGTTGATGCAGTGCAGCGGGAACTGCGGGTAAATGTTGGAGATCTCGACGTTCCACGACGAGAGATCTTGCCACACTTTGGATGCGAGCAAAAGGCCGCAGAGCACGATCGGCTTCCAGCTCGACCCGAGCAGCGGGATGTTGGCGCGCTCCATGAGCCGCTCAATGTAAATGAGGCACACGATCGTGCACTCGGCGCTGAGCTGCGCGCGGTTGAAGAGGTTCTTGCAGAAGCGGAAGATCTCTTCGACGCTTGGAATGTGCGTCTTGCAGTTGACCTTGTCCATGCGGTAGTACGAGAGCGGGTGCAGCGTCGGGAGCCGGACAAAGGTATACTTGTACGTCGGCGACACAAAGTGCTCTTCGTCAAACACCTTGTCGAGCGAGAGGTGCAGGCCCGGGAGGTGCCCGCTCGTCGGGTGGACCGTCGACGCATCAAACGACTCGGTGCGCAACGCGTGGTGCTGGCTGGCCTCGGCAACCGGTGTCTCGGCGATCGTTGCGCTCTGGATGGTCGACATGAGCAGCGGCGCGGTCTCGCGCAAGCGCTTCTCGCAGCGGCGAATGTGCTGGTACAAGACGACCGCGACGCGCCGCAGCGAGTCGTCGTAGTTGGGCTTCGCCACGCTGCTCGGCGGCGCCAGCGTCTCGCTCACGTCCATGCGGGCGCCTGGCGCGCGGTACTTGAGCCCGTTCGTGCGCAGCTTGGGCGTGCATACGGTATGCGTCGGCTGGAAGAGCTCGGCTTCGACTAGAGGAAAGATGAGCACGTATGGAGGAGCCTCGCCTACGTACTGTCGACGTCGAAATGAACCTTCTTTAGCGGCGGTGATGGCGAGATGGACACAGCAAGCATGGATTCCCCGCCCATGGACGTTCGCTGTGGCGGTGCTCGACGAGGCGATTGCAGCACTTGCCATTGCCGGCTGGAGAGCAATCTCGCGGCCTTTCAAACCTGATATTCGGATGCTGTTAAAATCAAGAAGCTTTCGTTTATGGCTTACAAACCAGATGGTATTTTAATAGCGCCACGTTGACCACCCTCAACATGCATTTCAAGAGGTTTATCCGGACAAAGGCCGAAGCGTCAACTTCAACCTCTGTGACAGGAACGCGAGATTGCCTTTTGGAATCTGGTCCACGCTTCTCGTCGAAAGCGTGCTAACGCCGGGCTTCTGGTACGAGGAGACTTCACACAGACCAGATATGCAACCAGACCCAGACAGCGCGCCCCTTCCCACACGTATGCAGCACCCAATCGAGTGACGAGAGCCTTCTATGTGCAAGAGTTGGTTGGCGCCACCCAGTGGGCCTTCCTAGTACTGTACTTCACGTGGCTGGCAGTATTGTCACACGCTATTAGATGTAGGGCCGACACAGCACTATAATACCAAGCCATAAATGGGCCGGACGTTGGGACGAACTGCAGCCCAACTGTACCCAAGCTGTGTTACGACTGCCTTGTCGCTCTTTCTACGGTTTCTTGTTGAATCATTGCAGGCAAAGATTGGAGCAACGCGAAGAAGAACGCAAGTATTGACTCGGTGGAGTCTATCGCAATGCCACGTGCAGCAATCGCAACCATATCAAGCGATGGCATCGCAGCGCCTGCATCGCTGGTCATTGCATCAGAGACGCATTTGACGCTTGGTTGTACATCGCTTCGGCTTGTGCCAAACCGTCGATCCACGCGCTTATTTCAATAAAAGTATGCTCTATATAAATTTGTATGCGGAGGTTTTGCACCCATTACTGTATACCGGTAGGCGTGCATCGTATATATTTATATCCGTAAACGGATTAGCTTAGCGGACGCACTTTGGCGCGATGTCGAACCCTGCGATTGCCGCGTACGAAGCCGCATACGATACGTCTGCTTCAAGAGCCGAGCGCGTTCGACGAGCTAACTGCCGCACCTGCCACCGGTGCTCTTCCGACTCACGGGCGTGGACGAGCCGGTCTCGTGGCCGCTCAGCAACGCGCAGGCAGCGCAGATCGCTGCGCTCTACCCCAACAAGCTCATCTCTGCGGCCAACATCCTCCTCAATGAGCGATACGCCGACAACTATAACCGCATGCTTGACAAAGTCAGCGACGCCTGTCTTCCGCACGTGGGGCCATCGCATGACACGTCCATGGATCTCTCGCACATGGTTGTGGACGACGTCGGCGACGCCGACCTCTTCCGCTTGCAGCCTTCAAACGATGACGTAGTCAACGCGACTACGTTTGGTGTGCTCATCATGCTGCTTCCATCTGTGCACACGGGCGGCGTCATCACGTTCACGCACGGCAACCAGTCGGAAACGTTTGATGACGACACGTCGCTTCTCGAGACATCGTTCGCCGCTGCCTTTCTCTCAGCGACGATCACGCCGGCACCCATCACGTCCGGGCGCCGCGTCGCACTTGTCTACGGCTTGTACTACGGCAACGTGAAAACGCCAATGCGCATGGAGCCGAATGTGCAGGACGCGGCGATCGCAGCCTTTCAAGCCGCAGGGCAATCGACGACTCAAGAGGTCCAGCGACTCGGACTGGAGCTGGAAAAGTCGCGGCTCAATTTTGCAGCGCTCACAGTCTGGGAGATGGCGTTTGTGAAGGTGCTTCTCGCTGCCGGCAACGGTGACGTCGGGCTTGCGACGATCGACACACGCAAGCGCGTCACGAGGTTGCTGCCGCACCCCAAATGCAGCATCCCGGACGCTGTCGTGCGCGATTTGATTGGAAGGTCGATCCAAGGCTTTCTGCACAGGCCGCTCCCGAACTCCAACGCAGCTTCGCACTTGTCTCTCGTCTTTTGGCCCAAGCGCCACCGAGTGAGCATGGTCGACATTGATGGCGTCGTGGACTTCGACTGGAGCGTGGCAACGACAACGACGACGGGCACATCGGCATCTTTGACACGCGCGAGCTCGTGCTCGGTGCGATATCATGCTTTGGCGTCGGTGACGCAGTGCGGATCAAGGGCAGCAACTCTTGCGGCCAAAGGCGTCCCTCGCGACGATGCACCAGATCGTGATGGCGCTCGATGACGTGGCGCTCTCGGCCGCTCTCCTACATGTGATCGCGATCCGAGCGGAGCTTTTATGGACCAGTGAAACGCAATTCATTCACGGCCTCTTGGCCAAGCATGGCTGGTTGCCGCTGCAGTCGTCGATGCTCGTGTTTGTTGAGCGCTGGGCGAAAGTCAGACCCAAGGAAGTGATACAGCTGCTCACGAGCTTGGCCGGCCTTGACACCGAGTCGCCTGTATGTCCGCCACTGTGTCAACCGTTTGAAGCCGAGCTCTTCAAGCGCTGCTTCGATGTGGTGTTGAAGACGCCTGGTCTCTTTTCGAAGAGAAAAGACTTGCTGCTCCGTGGCCCTGCATTTGTCAAGGGTCTCTGCTTGCTCGAGCACTACGTGAAAACGACGGCGCCGGAGCTCCAAGATGCCAACTATACAAGTCGACGCCTGCCGCCGATCCTCGTCAGTGCTGTCGACGCCTTCCTCTTTGCCTACCCATCTCTCGCCAGCTTGTTCTGCTCCTCGGCCGTGTGGCACCCGCTCAAGGACCTTGGTGTCGGGCTGGCGTCGGCCGTGCGCTGCCAACCGGAGTTGCCACTTCCACCGGCCATGATTGACAACGTCCTCGCAGCCATGCAAGCACCCATGACGCCGCGCCTCAAGATTCGAATGGCGCACCAACAAGCCGACATTGCCGCCGCGGTGCTCGTCTTGGCGAGTCTCTCGCAGCGTCTTGACGCAGCACTCTTTGACATTTTGGTCGACATTTATGGGCTTCGACTGCTCCCGATTGTCGCCTCGATCGCCTCGCAGCTGCCGGACGATGCGATCGTGGGCCAGCTCGTCACTGCGTACATTGACAGCTCGGTAGACACGCTCGTCGACGAGTGGTCCAAGTGGCCCGAGCCGTTGAACCGTCAAACGTACACCGGTCGGTACATGGAAGCAACGTACACGTTTGGCGCCGACATCGTTGTCAGCGCCGTGGATCTCTTGCTTCGCTTTGCGCCCGACACGGCGCTTGCGTTTGCTTCCCGATGGGAGTCCCGTTCTGAGCACCGAGACTTTCTCCCAAAACACATAAATGTTTTCCTAAGCACATATCCCTCTCTACCCAAAAAAACCCTATTGCTCACCAGCCTTAATACCCTGCCTCTCTCCCTCTCACCCCAACACCCCCACGGATAACCACACCAATCCCTGCTACCAACACCACCTTTCCCCCGGAGGTATAAGCATCCCCGCGCTGCGGGGATGGCATCGGGTCCTTTTTGATGCGTAATCATAATCCACTGTCCGGTTAAACTAGAGGTGACGGCCAATCACATCCTAGCATTTCCTAGCATTTATGTGTTTTGGAAAATGTTTATGTGTTTTGGGATAGAGCCTCGGTGTTTTGAAAAATACTCTTCCCGATGGCTGCAATTGCTCCCAACGACGCTCGACGTGCTTCGTGACCGACTGTTGCCGATGGTGCCGCGCCTTGACCGCACCAGCTGCGTCTCTCGTCTGATTGTGACGACCATCATTGATCGATTCGCCGCGGTGCCAGTGCTGCCCCATATTGTCAACTTTGCAACGCCATCGCCACCCGATCTCGACCCGGCCCATTGCAACCAGTGCAACGAAGCGCATTGGTTCTTGGCGCAAGCGGACGAAGCGTCGGTGACGCTGTGCAGCCGCGGCGTCTGCCCCCATCTCGTACGCGTCGTCACCGCAGACATCGCGCGGCTTCGCATCGAAAAGAGTGCCACGGATCATCGCCTTGAGAAGGTGCGCCAGCCCGGTCAAGTCTCCGAGGTCGAGTGGCGTGCGCACCAAGACACGATGCAGGACTACCTTCGCGCGGCTGAATGCGTCGAGATCTTGAGATGCCAAGGAGGGTACGAGCAGGAAGATACAACAGACGAATCGAAGACACACCCTGCCAAGTGCATGCGTCGGGCGTAGGAGGTCTTCTTTTATACACTCCCTTGATTTTACGTTGTTGTATCCAGGGGTACATAACAGGTACCCCTGGTCGTATCCTTCTCGGGCGGAATCCTTTTCCCAACTCGGTTCGATGGAAATGGTTCCGTGCACCCCTCACGGAGTGTACCATACAAATCTATTGATTGATATTGAATGGTGGGGATGGTGGTACCGCCAGACGATATCTGCACAGCAGCCCTCTTGGGCCACATGAAGCGGCCCTCTGGCGCACGACGGTACCAATCTTGTCTCGGCTTCCTTGGTTGCTACTTGGCCGCGAGAAAGAGGCAAGCAAGGGAATAAATTATTCCCTTGGAGGCAAGTAACAAACAACGAATGCCGTTGTCTTATTAAGCCAACCCACGTCGCACTGTGTACAGTGCCAGTGGAGCGTCCAACATGTTGTCTCGACAGGTAGTGTGGACTACAGTATGTAATACCTATCGACTTCGCTAAATGGCGATCCGAGCACAAGGACAGTGACAAGCGCACAGAGGATCAATCATGGCAATGCCACGTCATATTGCACAATATATTGTCAAAATACCAATATATTGCAATACATAATAATATTTTTGATATTGCGCAACGCTCCGTGCCATTGACCAACACCACGACGGCAGGTTACGCGCCAAAAACAAACTTGGCCACGTGGGTTTCGCGTGGCAGAGTTGGTTTTTGGCGCGATGTCCAACCCGGCGATCGCCGAGTATGAAGCCGCGTACAAGTTGCTCAAGGAGCCGTGCGCGTTCGTCACCAAGGGCGCGCACCCGCATCCGGCGCCGCTGCTCTTCCGCCTCACGGGCATGGACGAGCCGCTCGCATGGCCGCTCTGCTCCGCGCAGGCAGCGCAGATCGCCGCGCTCTACCCCAACAAGCTCATTTCCGAGTCCGACATCCACTTTGAAAGCCGATACCTCAGCGAACGCGAGCACATTCTCAGCGAGATCGACCGTGTCCGTCTTCCGCACTTGGGGCCATCGAATGGCGCGTTCATGGATCTCTCGCACATGGTCGTGGACGACGTCGGCGACGCCGATCTCTTTCGCTTGCAGCCGTCCGATGACGACGAGGCCAACGCGACTACGTTTGGTGTGCTCATCGTGCTGCTTCCATCCGTGCATACCGGCGGCGTCATCACGTTCACCTACGGCAACCACTCGGAAACGTTTGATGACGATACGTCGCTGCTTGAGACGTCGTTTGCCGCCGCGTTTCTCTCCACCGTGTCTGCATTGTCGACGTCGTCGGTGTCTTGGACTTTCTCATGCGCCGACGTGCGCGCGGCAACGATGACGACGACGGGTACCTCGGCATTTCGGAGACGCGCGAGCTTCTACTGGGTGCGATACCATACTTTGGCTTCCATGGACCAACGCTGGTCAAGTCCAAGCGCATGTCACCTGAAGAGGAGATTCACATGCTGATGCACAAGAATGATCTGCCTCGCAACTTGTCGCTTCTTGAGAAGATGCAGCGGCTCTTGACGGCGCTTGGCGACGTGGCAGTCTCGGCCACTTTCATCGACACCATCACGATGGGAATCGGTCGCTTAGTGGACGATATCGCACCAGTCGTCCATATCCTCTTGGTCAAGCATGGCTGGGAGGCCCTGCAGTCGTCGATGCTTCGGCTCGTCCAGCGCTGGATCGAGACCGACCCAGACGCCACGATGCAGCTGCTCATGAGCTTGGCTGGTCTCAATACCGAGTCGTCCGTGTGTCCACCGCTGTCTCAACCGTTTGAGGCCGAGCTCTTCAAGCGCTGCTACGACGTCGTGCTGGCAACACCCAGTCTCTTTACTGAGACAAAGGGTATGCTGCCCCGTGGCCCTACCTCTGTCATGGGCCTCTTCTTGCTCGAGCACTACTTGGCGACGACAGCGGCGCAGCTCCAAGACGCCCACTACGCGAGCCAACGTCTGCCTTTGAGTCTCGTGCCGGCCATCGACGCCTTCCTCTTTGCGAACCCATCTCTCAGCAGCTTGTTCTGCTCCTCGGCCGAGTGGCACCCGCTCAAGGACCTTGGTGTCGGGCTGGCGTCGGCCGTGCGCTGCCAACCGTCGCTGCCACTTCCACCGGCCATGATTGACGAGGTCCTCGCAGCCATGCAAGCACCCATGACGCCGCGCCTCAAGATTCGAATGGCGCACCAACAAGCCGACATTGCCGCCGCGGTGCTCGTCTTGGCGAGTCTCTCGCAGCGTCTTGACGCAGCACTCTTTGACATTTTGGTCGACATTTATGGGCTTCGACTGCTCCCGATCGTCGCCTCGATCGCCTCGCAGCTACCGGACGATGCGATCGTGGGCCAGCTCGTTGCTGCGTACATTGACAGCTCGGTAGACACGCTCGTCGACGAGGCCAAGTGGCCCGAGCCGTTCAACCGTCAAACGTACACCGGTCGGTACATGGAAGCAACGTACACGTTTGGTGCCGACATCTTTGTCAGCGCAGTGGAGCTTTTGCTTCGCTTTGCGCCCGACACGGCCCTTGCGTTTGCTTCGAGATGGCTGCAATTGCTACCGACGACGCTCGACGAGCTCCATGACCGACTTGTGCCGGTGGTGCCGCGCCTTGACCGCCACAGCTCCGTCTTTCGTTTGCTCTTCTCGGCGATGATCGATCGCTTTACCGCAGTGTCGGAGCTGCTCAACATCGTCAGCTTGGCCGCGCCATCGCCACGAGATGTCGACCCCGACCATTGCAACCAGTGCCGACATGCGGATTTTTTTTTGGCGCAATCGGACATGACCAATTTGAAGCTATATCGAAGCAGGCCCGACGTCTGCGTCGACCTCGCTCGGGTTGTCGACGCGAACGCCACGCGGCTCTGTTTCGTGACCGGCGACGACGGCAAGTGCCGCCTCGAGAAGGTGCGCCAGCCCAATCAAGCGTCACCGACCGAGTGGGACGTGCACCACGCCAAGATGAAGACCCATGCGCGCATCGCGGCGTGCATTGCGAGTTTGACAAGCACAGTGGGTGGCGAGCCAGAGGATGCATCGAACGAGTCGACGGAGCCACCGGCCAAGCGCGTGCGGCGGTCGTAAGCCATCATAACGTCTCGCTAGCCCACGGATAACATTTTTACTCGGAAGTAGCGCCGGGAGTCCGATAATCAAACACATATCCGAGTTGGGGGTGGTACATTTATGACCGCGAGGACTATTGTACAGGTAGCGCATGAGCCACGTGGCCACGCTACAATCCATGTGCACAGCCGCCGCGTGTGGCGCAACGTGCCTCAGGACACACCACGGAAGTCGCCTCAGCCCAGCCGCGCGCTTCTGCTTCCAAGCACCCTGGCTATGTTGGCATAAACTTCCCACAAGCATGCACCCCCCAAAGACAGCCATTCCTGCCCAATACGCTCGTCGCCTCCTGCACTATTCCCGCTCACGTCATCACCAAGGCATCAATGGCACGTGCGGTGATCGAGCAGAAGCGACTCGCGCTAGCTATGCGAGGGGCCGCCAACGGACTGTACTGGGAGGCGTCTTGTAGCCTCCATCCCGGAAGCAGCGACACCGGCGGCGGCGTAGCGCCGACCGCTTGGCCTGGATCAGGGGTCGCAGCTTCGGAAATTGTGTACAACATGACATGTCTTGCTCTTCGCAGCGCGCTAGTCGTGATGCGACAAGGACAGAACCATATATTCTCATCGTGGCAGCCATGAACTGGACAAGCACTGCTACTACGTCATCATGATGCGGGTCGTTGTGCAGCCCTTCTACTACACTATAGTGCGCTCCCGTTCGTTTGCGCCGAGAGGTAGTGAGTTACTTCTGCCAAGGGTACGTACATAATACCCTGCTTTTTCAACCCGAACTGCACCCGACATGTTTGCACCCGAGCAAAGCACCCGGAAACCGAACCGGATTTCGGGCTCCCAACTGAAAAATGTCAAGCCCACCAGCGCCTCCAAGCACTCGCAGCCGAGGCGGAGCAGGAGGCGAGTCAGCGGCGAAGCCGACCGAGCTCGAGCCGACACCTTCACGCGAGAGCTTCACATCCAACGTACAAAGGAGTTCATGGTGATGGGGCCGCGCGCAGCCAGAGCCGTTCAACCATCGGGAGCTCTCTGGTCTGTACTACATGCAGTACAGCGATGCAGCCTACAAGTTTGGCGTTAACGTCTTTGTTAGCTCGCAAAGTCCCGACCGGATAGCACCTGGTGTAGCGCTGCACAAGCTGCGTGTACCAACTGCTTCTCAAGGCGATCGTCGATCGGATTGCTGCCGCGCAAGCCTTTTTCGAAGCCATCGACGCTGCACACCTGGATCTCGACCATGAACCATGCCACGAGTGCCTCGTGCAGCAAGCAGGCGAGATCACCGAGAGTTGTTTATAGGCTGCCACGCCGTCTGTCCCTACCCCAAGGGGGGGCAACATCTCAACCCAGTCCCAGAAGCCGAGTCCCACGCAGAGTGGCAGGAAGATGCTTGCGTTCCTGCAGTCGTCGAGACAACGACAAAGAAGCGGATGCCTCCAACCAATTGAATGCACCTCGTGCCAAGCGAGTGCGGCGGTCGTAAGGACGGACCTAAGAAACCTTTATCTTTATATGTGCTGGCCGACGGCGCGTCCATTGCAACAACGATGATGGTTGCAGACAGTCCAAGCCAACACGCATCAGTGCACTCGATACGGGGCTCGATTGACCAGTCCAAGGAATTCAACCACACGCGCCAAGAAACCACAAAGTTCAGAAAGCTGTGCAAGCTTAGTACGTACAAGGTGAAAGAGATAAAAAAGAGGAAACAAATGACTTCTCATAACACCAGCGTCCGCTCACACCGTCTTGGAATAGCAACGGTGGACGTTCATCAAGAGCCAGCAACTCAAAACTCAATTCGAGTTTCTGGCCGACATCCCGAGTCAACGGACGTGGTCACATACGATCATCAAAGTCATTTGTGATGTCAACTTTGAAAACAAAGTAAAACAGAAGGTACTAAAGAATTTGATCCTGTAAAAGTACGGTCTTGCTCCATTCTACCGTAAATCGTCAATTGCTACGTTTGCAAAAGTACGCGTTCCTCATGTAGAAGCATGCATAATGCAAAACACAACAAATCAAATGCTTTCATTTCTGCATGGCGCTTAACAATCCGCATAAAACCAGGTGTTTCCGCATAATATCAGATGGTTTTGCAAGAGGTAGCGTATATTTACGGTAAATTTGATTTTTGCTGCGTGATTTTAAGAAATAACACCATATGCCAAATTTTGCATCACACTATATCATACAGCAGGTATAGTATGCGCACTGATTCCGGTAATGCGCTGCAAATCCAGGATCCTCTAGGACCAAGGTCCGAAATGTAGGTTCGTCAATAGGCCTTTCGACAAGAAAATGTCGGGTTGTGTTTGTTGCCCCGATGGTGCTGCTGCGCAGAGGACTTGGTCGCGACCGAGTGTCGCACACTGCCAGCTCGTCGGCTTTTTAACGCGACCTACCGACGTTAAATCGCTCGTTGCTGCCGAGACGACTTGCTTTCCCCACTCAGTTGCGCGGGTGAGAAAGCTTGTAATGCAGTTCTTAGTGCAGCTCTCAATACACCGTACAAAGTGTAGCAGATTAATGTGCACCAGAAATGTTGCTTCATCTTGATAAAACGTTAGTGAAGGTTGCATGCTCGCGGTGGCACGGCCACACCGTTGGGCGGACCCAGTGGGCCGAACTGCTCTCGGTGCATTCCAGCAGCGAACTGGTCGATATCGGCACCCTAGGATCCGCCACGCCGGCGTGTGATTGGCTCCTTCACAGGTACGTCTTGCGTTTCATTGGCTGATGGAGCTTCAACTTAAGGCCGCGGTGGGCGGCGTCGGACCCTCGCTGCCTCGCGGCCACAGCCACCGACGACGGCCATGACGCAGTGGCACGCCATGCAATGACCGTCGACCTGCTGCGACGACCGCCGCAAATCGCTGGCCGCGATCCTGTGACGTGAGCTGGAAGGAAGCGAGCCGGCCAATCAATGCGGCGCCGGCCCGTAACTCACGCCATCGAAACAGTCGCTGAATAATCTCCTTGCAGCATGACGACGTCGCGCACGGGCCGGCGCAGCGCGAGCAGTGGCGCGCTGCACGCGTCCTTCTTGGAGCACGAGCACCTGCCGCCGATGCCCGAGGCGGCGCCGCTCGAGATCCGCATCGACGAGTCGGCGGTCGTCGACGAAGCGTGGTCGTCGCCGGCGCACTCGAAGCTCACGATCGAAGACGCGCAGCTGCTCGAGTGGGACCACGCCGCCGTGGTCGCAACTGCGGTCGGCAGCAAGGCGTCGGGTCGCCAGAGCTCCGAGTTTGGCGACGCCGAGGCCGACCTCAAGGAGGACCTCCACATCCTCCTCGACCCGTACTACGACGTGACGACCGGTCGCATGAAGCGCATGTTCCGGTTCTTCTCGCCCAAAGGTAGACGATTCGCAACTGTATGCGATGGCCGCTCATGCGAGATGTAGGTCAAGAGACGGTGACGTACGACCAGTTCCACAAAGGGCTGCTCGCCCTCGGGATTTCATGCCCGGAGCATGTCGACTTGATCAAGCTCATCAAGAAGATCGACACGGACCATGACGGAGCGATTTCGCTCGATGAGTTTATCCACGTCGTGCAGATGATCAAGCTCGCGCATCTCTTCAAGCCCGACGTGTGTGCGAAGGACGAGGCGCCGTCCGCGACCTTCCACGTGACCGACTACTCGCCCGAGACCATCTACACGGTGTCGCGAGTCCAGAACCTCAAGAGTTTTTTCTTCTCGTCCAAGCCGAATTGGGCCAAGGTGCGCTGGGTGCACCTCGCGGGCGTGAGCGATCTCAACGACATGCACCTGCGCCGCCTCGCCATCAAGTACCAGTTCCACCCGCTCGCTCTGGAAGATGCGCTCAAGAAGAGTGACAAAATTCGCTCCAAGTACGAACACTACCAAGACCACACGTTCCTCGTACGTTCCTCGATCGTTCTTCTCCTTTCTTGTCGTGTCCTCAAGAAAGAACGATCCATGTAGGTCGTCCCCGTGCTCCGCGCGTACGACCAGACCACCGCGGATTTTATCGTCGACTGCGTCAAGAAGCACCAAGCAACGCTCTTTGAGAAGGACCTCGCGTTCGTCGATGGCTGGCGCACGTCGTCGCCGCCAAACGTCGACGACCTCCAAGCCACGCTCGGGAAGCTCGAGCGCCTCCTCCGCAAGCCGCAGCAGCTCTGCGTCTTTGTCAACGCCAAGAACGACGTCGTCTCGATCCAGGAAGACAACGACGCGGACAAAGTCGGGGGCTTCCACCTCTGGGAGTCGATCTACGAACGCAACATGGCCAAGAGCTACTCCAAGCTGCGCAACCACGGCCCGCATTTCTTGACGGTCGCGATTCTCAACGCGGTCGTGGACGAGATTTTGCCGCTCGTCGAGGTCTTTGACGTGGTTGTGAGCGCGCTCGAGCAGCTCCAGGTCGCGCAGGGCCGCGATTTTGATTCGAAGCGCATCTTTCTCGCCAAGAAGCAGCTCGTCGTTATCGAGAAGATCGTGCGGCCGATGCTCGACCTCGTCGAGGGCCAGCTCCTCGACCAGGACGAGTTCCGCGAGGTACTTCATGAGTCGAGATGTGAAAGGGATGCGACGCGTCGTATTGAGTAGGGCGAGGTCAAGAACTACATGCGAGACGTCAAGGACCACCTCAAGCACATGGCGACCGAAATCAAAGAGTTTCAAGGCGCGCTCAACGTCGTCTTCAACGAGGACCAGCAAGCGCGCGCGAAGGCGCAGGCCGACATTCAGTTTACCATGTCGATCGTGGCGGCGGTTTTTCTGCCCGCGACGTTCCTCACAGGTCTCTACGGCATGAATTTCGACAACATGCCTGAACTGCACACGGAGAACGGGTACTTTGTTTGGTGGGGCATCCTCGGCACAATCTCGCTCGGGATTGTTTCCTACTTCAAGTTTTACAAAGAGTGGATCTAATAGACCACGTACACATGACTTGTGTGCATGAGTTCTTGTTGTGCTAATGATTGTCGATTCGTGGCACTCAAGGTTTGTTGATCGATAGATAGATAGATAGATAGATAGATTTAGCAACTCGAGATAATTGCCCTTGAAATGCGCCGGTCCAACCAAGCTAGGTTTAGGGTCCATCGTTGAACTCCCTCGCCAATCTTGGAGACAACCGAGTACGTTCGAGCAGCCGACATTGCCTGTTCTTCGATGCACGGGGCAGAATTGCTACGCAGCAAGCAAGCAATTACCCAGGTGCTTTGTGTACCCGCGGCATAGCACGAATTCCAGTGCCACACCTCGGCGGTTCATCAATGAGATGGAGCCATCGACTAGACTTGTCCCCGTTGCAACCTACCCAGAGCGTGCGGGGAAGAAAGCGTCGATCGTGGAGGCGGCAAGGACATGGATAGAATAAGGACGCAGAATGATGTTGAAGGGGATAAGTAGAGGGCGTCTAAGCAAAGGGGTCGGGGACGACCTCAGCGAGCTTGGCAAGCGACGTGGCTTGCAGCGCGCAGAGCGCCTTGTGCTCTTCAATCGACTGCTGTAGCTCGGTCGCGATCTCGACCACCTACGCCATTTCTAAGTATAACATCAAAAGATGACAAATCGACCATGTCGTGGTTGATGTTGCACTTGTCGAGCATGTCATGGCCGTCGTACGCTGCGTCCACCAGCGTGAGGAAGAGCACGGCATGCGCGATCATGAACGGCGGGTGGAGCATGATGAGGTGTGTCCGGTAAGTATACAACGTGAGGTCCCTACATGCATAGAGTCGTTTCTCTGTAGACCGTAGCGTATCGGTCGACCATGCCATCTTGAAGCTGTGCTCGTCCATGGGAAACTCGACCTCGAACTCGTCGTAGAGCCTACGCATATAGTCGCATCACCTTGCTATCACAGAACGATGTATGCGTACTTGATGAGTGTCGGGAAAGGGTGGTGCATGATCATGTCGTACTGCATGGCCTCGATGACGAAGAACTCGCATTCAATAATGTCTTTTTCGGTAAACTCAAAGAACGCTTCGCGGTCTTCCGTGTACGCTAAAGAGGCAACAACGATGAGAATCAAGTTGCGGACGACGACGACGGACGGGTCGTGAGCTCGTGGAGGCTGGTCGTGATGTCCGAGAGCCGTGCTTGGCACTCTTCGATCTTGGACGAGATGAAGAGCGCTGTGCCACACACAAGGCGCGGATCAAAGTCGCAAAAGCTCTGCCTATACGCATCGATGAGCATATACTGGCGCGCTTGCATGCCTTGTCGTACGTGAGGTAGAACCGGCGGTAGATCAAAATGGCCGTGCAGATGATGATCTGGTTGATGTGCAGGCGCGCGCCGAGCTCCTCCATGACTACATATCGAGTGTTGCATGAGCGTTGAGCGCATAGCGGTCGGCGTACGCGAGATCATGGCCAGGTGGATGCTCTCGACCTCGCTCATGTCGAGCGATGTGTCCTTCGGGTTGATGCGCTTGAGGTCTTCGAGCCGCAGCGCCTTCATCCAGTGCAGGCTAGAGGTAGCCCGTGAGTCTCATGCAGAGCTAGCGCCCATGGCCTACTAGTGCGACGACTGCCAGAAGTTGAGCGCCATGCGTCTCCGTCGTCCTCGGAGCTGGACCCGCGGCTTACCAACAACAACAAACCGCTGACCTCCCACTATCCGGACAAGAACGTCCGATCACGTCTCTCCTAGGCGACATACAAACATTAAGGTATTTAGAATCCGAAACTCGGCGTTCCTTGTCGACATAGAACAGCCTAGATACGATCTTATTGCGAGACAGCCGAAGCAAGATGGCCGAGACAGCAGCGATGACCGGCCTCGCCCTGCACGCGCGCCCTGATGGGCCCGAGAAGGGTACATGCTACTTCCTTAGCACTCGTACGACAGGACGCTGGCGTAGTCACGATCCAGTTTACCGCCGTTGGCGGCGCTCCCATCATGAAGCGCAGCAAGTTTACGGTCAACGGCGCCGATCCGCTGGGCGTCGTACGACTAATGATGCACCGAGCGATGGCCACAGGATCATGCGTCTATGGCGCGTAGGTCTACTCGTTCCTCCGCAAGCAGCTGCGCCTCCACGACGAAGACGCGCTTGTACGTGCGCGATCCCACGACTTCTCCTGCAACTCTTGCTGTGTAGTTTGTCTATTGCAATGCATCGTTTGCGCCAACGCCAGATCAAAAGCTCAGCGAATTGCACGAGGTCGATCTTGTCCACTGCTGAGGTCCCTAACGACGTCATATCTCTAGTGCTTTCACGTCAATGGAATGCTTGTTCTCAACTACAGCCGAACGCAGGCATGGGGCTAACAATGTCTATACTAGTATGTGTTTTCTCTATGCTCTAATACCGTTGAATCTCCGTAAACGCGGCTCTCGACACGCTCGAGTCATGGCGTCGATGCGTCAATCCTACTTGGACGCTTCAACTCGCACCCCGAAAACTAGCGATTACAAGTGGGGTTTTGCTGTCTTGCGTTGGCTTTCTAATCCACCTATGGCACAGTATTGCGCTTCGTCGCCTCCATTTTCGTTTCACGCGCATCCCAGGTGTTCTCACTTCGCCAAGATTCCTCAACACGGACGCAGAGTCTATGGTCGTGTGAACCGAACGACGTGATTCGACGTTCTATATCAACCAAGTCGATTCCAATACATTTATGAATCTACTTGGAAGCTTCTACGAGCTATCCCGCATGAGCGCCTCGACCTGCGCCCGTGCAGCACGGTGCTTGAGCTGCAGCTGCTGCAGCTCCGACTCGATTGGAACATTGGGCTCCAACGGCGGCGTTCGACGCGGCGACGCGCGGCGCTCGTTCTTGACGGGCTTGGGGCTCGATGCTTTCTTGATTACCATCTTGGGCTTGGGCACCTTGTCTTTTGCAAACGCGAGGGCCTTGTCCCGTGTCGACAGAGTCTTCTCCGGCGCGACAGTCTCGACAACATCTCGCTTCTTGAGCGTCGTTTGGTTGATCGCGCGAAGGTTCTTGGAAAACTCTTTGATGCGCTCCTTGTTGGCGCGCTTCTCGACCAAGTCATCGGCGTTCAAGTCGGGCTTGAGCTTCCCGAGCTCGTAGTAACCCGCAGGTTTTTCTTGCTTGTACTCGGTGAGCGTGCAAGGCTCGTACTGAACTGGCCGCGCCTTCTTGGAGAACGCGAGCTGGTCGTGCTCGGTCACAGCGCGCTGCTCGTTGAGCTCTGTTGGGCTCGGCTTCTCGGGCTTGACGAGCTTGGTCGCTCGCTTGGGCGGCGACGCCTGTGGCTTGGGCGACCGCTTCGAAGGCACAACTTCCGCTGGCTCGTACGCATCGTCGTCGTCATCAACGTTGTTAGGCTTGGCGTTGTCGGGTTTGGTTCCAAGGTACGACTCGTGGAGGCTCGCGTTGTTGGAGGCGCCAGCCGATGGGCGCGGCGCGAGGGCCGACGGCGCCTGCGGCTTCTTCCGGAGCGGACCGCTGCGCACCTCTTCGCTGCCGTCGGACCGCTTGAGCGTCCCGTGCATCGTCACGGTCGAGATCTTATCGCCAAAGCGCTCGAGGAAGCTCATGACTCGCAAACGGCAATCTGGCATCCGCTTGGCATCGCCATCTAAAAATAGATTCTAATTTATCCGGATGATCGCGCTGGTTCGGATTGGCCTTTCTGCGCAGCTCCTGAAACCAGCCGACGACGACGCTCTCACTCTGGCACACCTTCCCAGTCGCGGTGTTAGCAAGGGTCCCACGCTTTCCATCGTTGTCGTCGCACAGAGTTGATATCTTTGGCGGTCAAGCTCAACCTACCCGCGCTCTCGTGGTGGTGTGTGAAGAGTCCTGGTCGACGAAGCAAAAGACAAATAAAATCGAGCGGCTTACGACGCGCTTGGCAGGCTTGCTGCTCGCCCCAGAGGTGGGCAGCCGCATGTCGTGCGTGCACGAGATGCGAGTGAACAAGATGCGAAGTTGAACAAGGGCTGGCGACTTTTTAACCTCCCAGACCAAAAATCGGTTTTGCGAGGTAGCCGGAAACTGTATCCGGATACAAGCAGCCAAATTACAGAATGTAGGTTTGAACATAGGTTTTGTATGGCCGTGGGAGCGGCTGGTTTCCTTCTTCGTCGCCGCAGTTCCATTTCCGCGAGATCAAAGCGACAAGGAGTATGTACCAGTACCAGTCGGTGGACCAGCAGGAGCCGATGCTCGCCGGCGACAAGCGCGGTGGCCCGGCCGGCCCCGTCCAGTCGATGCGCCGCGAGACGGCGACGGCCAAGTGCAACGATGGCATCTTCGCGCTTCTCTTCATCGGCCATCTCGTCGCGATTGCCTACTTTGCGGTAGGCAGCATCATCCTCATGCTAGCATGGCATGGCCGAGGCTCATGGCCGCTGCGATGTAGTTTACCAAGGGCCTCGACTTTATCAACCAGTACGAGAAGGACCACCCGGCGCCCGAGGCGCAGAAGGGCCTCGGCGTCGTGCTCGGCGTTAGCGGTGGCCTCATTGGCGTCTCGGTCCTCTTCTCGGCGATTTGGATGAAGCTGCTCATGGCCTTTGCCGAGCACATGATCAAGTTTGCTCTCTGGACGAACGTCGGCTTGCTCTTTGGCTTTGCCGTCGTCACACTGTTTGTGAACCCGATCATGCCCTTCATCTTTCTCTTCCTCGCGGCCATCAACATTTGGTACCCTCCCCCTCTTCGCGTTGTCTGTCGATGCTTATGCGATCCTCTTCCTTGTAGCTACATTTACGCGGTGCAGAACCGCATTGGCTTTGCGTCGGCCAACCTCAAGATTGCGTGCTCGGCGCTGAACGAGTACGTTTCGATCTTTGGCGTCGCGATCTTCCTCCTCGTCATCCAAGTCATCTGGGTTGCGGTCTGGGGCCTCAGCACGGTCGGCGTCTACCAGATGTTCCGCACGGCGGACCCGCACTGCGCCGAGGAGGAGGCCCGCGGCAAGGTCTGCGGCGGCTCGGGCTTTGGCGTCACCATGTTCTTCCTCCTCGTGAGCGTCTTTTGGGGTCAGCAGGTCGTCCAGAACGTGCTCACGACGACGGCTGCGGGCACGGTCGCGTCTTGGTGGTACCACTCGTCGCCCACGAGCGGCGTCGGCGGCGCGCTCTACCGTTCGATGACGTCGTCGTTTGGGTCCATCTGCTTTGGCTCGCTCATCGTCGCCGTGCTCTCGGCCATGCGCACGGTACGATTGCGTGTGTTTCGATCTGTTATTTTTCTTGCATTTTTCTTGCATTTTTGTGATTTTGTGATTTTTATGGTTTTTATATTGAGAAATTTGATGCTGCTTGATACAGATCACTCATGCTATGTCGTACATCGATTAGATGGCGCGCGTGATCCGCAACCAGGCGCAGCAGGACGACAACGCGGCGCTGGCGTGCGTCGCGTGCCTCGCCGAGTGTGTCCTCAACTGCATTGAGAACATTATGGAGTACTTCAACCAATGGGCCTACACGTACGTGGGCATCTACGGCTTTGACTTTCGCACGAGCGGCAAGGCGGTCATCGACCTCTTCAACAACCGCGGCTGGACCGCCGTCATCAATGACGACCTCGCGTCGACGGCGCTCACGATTGGTGCGTTCGGCGTCGGCATTCTCTCGTGCTGCCTCGGGCTTCTCGTCGCGCAGTTTGCGCCCATCCATTGGCAGAGCCAGCTCGGTGCCAACATGGACCAGACGACGGTCTTTGGTACGCCTCGCGTGATTATTGTCTGCTGGGCACGAGACACTATGCATCCCTTGTAGTCATTTTTGGTACGATTGGGTTCATTGCCGGCGTCAGCATGGCCATGATCCTCGCCAACCTCGTCATCACGGCGCTTCACACGATTTTCGTGTGCTTTGCCGAGGTAATCAAGACGAAGAAGAATAGTGTTGACCTTGTGTGGTGTAGGACCCGATGTCGTTCCAGCGCGCGCACCCGGAGCACTACAGTGAGCTCGTCATGGCGTGGCGTCACTTTCAGCCGGATGCGCTCGTCACGGCCTATGGCTCGTACGTCTAAACGATAGCGGAGCATGCATCCCAGTCATCTTCATGAGCTGCAAATACAAGCTTGATGCATTCGATCGATGGTGTCTTCTGAGGTGTTGATGGAGAGGAAGACGCGAGACAACAATTCAAGCTCATTAATTCGGACGATTCCAGCGAGTCCGGAACCAGGTCTCGGAAGCGATCAACGGACTGCCGCTACCCGACACCAGAGTGGAGGTACGTCGAGTTCTTATAAATAAGAATGAAAATACAGCCGACGACGTGGGCTGTGGTTCGATCGATGACCTCGAACCTATGTATACTCTTGCGGCGTCAGCTTCTACGCGTCGACCTCGAGGAGCTTGACGCATTCGGCGAGCACGAGCCCCGCGACGGGACGGGCCATGTGTCGTTGTCGGATGGCACGATGAAGGAGTCTGGCATGCGGCAGTGGCCCACGAGTCGATAAAAAGGTCGCGAGGCGAGATGCTGGAAGATCTCGAGGAAATCTCGAGGAAGACGCCTGCAACGTCCGCGCCCTCGTCGTCGTCGTGTTGAAGTCGAAACCGCAAGGTTGTGTCGCTTCGACGACGGTAGCAGGCTCTCGTAGAGCCACACCTTCCTCGCGAGCTCGCCGAGGTGCAAGCCGTGCCACTGCGACGGCCATGGTTGTCTCCGTCGTCATCATGTTGGCAAGTGACCATCTTGGTTGTGGCTATTCGGATAGCTGACGATCTTTATGCGGTCGAACGCCACCATTAGAGAGATTTCGCAAGTCATTTCCCGTTTCCGTCTGCGATTTTATCCTGTCATAAATGATTAGAAATGGGAAGTCTCTGAAAACTAATCGTGAAATTCGCCCAAATCGATCGAAAACGCGGACCGAAGGCTCCCGTCTTCGTTCAACAGGTTAAAGTACGTCAAACCGCGACCGAGGCTTTAACCCTTTTTAACCTGTCGGCATTTCGCGCCCATGTCATTTTCATTTTGGCGCGATGACTGACAACCGGCCAATCTCACGACCGCTCCCACCGCCCCGATCACGACGAAGACAGCGACTCGGGTCACGCTTCCTCGAACGATTCCAGCGTCGGCGGGGACGATGGGCCAAACCAGGTCACATCGAAGGGAACGACTTGGTGGTCTGCGGAAGACGACCTCATCCTCCTCATCCAAGCCAACAACGAGCGTCCCTTCTTGGTAGACAAGAGCAGAGGCGCGGGCGGTTGTGTATGCTGCACAGAGACTCACGCGACCGACCGAACATGATCATCACATCGCAGTACCGCCGAGGGTAGGCCAAGCCGTTGAGAGCAACGCAAAGGGCTTCGATAGTGAGGCATCGATCCCGACCCTCGGTGATAACGATGGCCGGGAGTTGAAGAGCACGTGAGAGGTGCGTCAAAGAAGCCATGTCAAAGCGGAAATGCAGGATTGCATCGGCGTCGTTCGTCGAGGTCGAGGCGCGTGTCCGGAACCAACGGCCGCTCAATAACCGAGAGGAGCAGCTCGAGGAGCTGACGGTGGCGGTGACGAGACATACGGCGACTGCGGCGAAGCAGCACCACAAGCTCGCGGGACGACAGCATCGATTACGATGAGGTTACGCTATTGCAGCAGTAGCACAAGACAAGACGAGGATGGAATTCTTCGGAGACGGGATTTCCTGTGCGAAATCACAATTTTTACTTTTTGCGTCCCGTCTCCCTCCACATACGCAGATGGAAACGGGAAGTGAGTTGCGAAATCTCTCTATTGGCTATCCACAGGATTCTCGCTTTCGTATCCGGAGGCATCTTGACCAGGATCTTGTCGTGCAAGGAAGGCATGTGATTGGCTAAAAGTCAACGTATTGACAGTCTGACAGGGTTTGGATTGGCGACACAATATTTGGGTGCATTTAGACACGTTCCGATTAGGGAGAATGTATTTTGAAAAAATCACCCACACGAGCTGCGTGGCTCTTTCCACAGATCGCAAAATCTTGTCAAGCGTCGCCCGACCCGTCGCCGCAGCATGCGTACGAACCTCGCGTGGTCCGACAAGGTACCCGACCGCAATGGTGCCAAGGTCGTCGTGCAGGACCTCGCGTTCCACCCCGACGGCTCGCAGCTCGTCGCCGCCATTGGCAACCGCGTCATGATCTACGACGCCACGAACGGAACGCTCTTGCATTCGCTCAAAGGTACGCCTCTTTAGCCGACACCAGTGACGTTCTCTTACAAGGCTTCTATCTGTCTAGGCCACAAGGATACGGTATATACCGTCGACTATGCACACGATGGCAAGCGGTTCGCGTCTGGCGGCGCCGACAACGTTGTCATCATCTGGACCGACAAAGCCGAGGGCATCCTCAAGTACACGCACAACGAAAGCATCCAAAAGGTCGTGTACAATCCGCAGTCGCAGTGCCTTGCGAGCTGCACGGCCGCCGATTTCGGTCTCTGGTCGCCCGAGCAAAAGTCGGTCGCTAAGCACAAGGTCGTCTCCAAGATCCTCTGCGCGAGCTGGAGCATTGACGGCGAGCTCCTCGCGCTGGGTCTCTTCAACGGGCATATCCTCTTGCGCGACAAGCAGGGCGGCGAGAAGGCGCTCATCGAGCGCAGTGCGCCGATCTGGACCATCTGCTGGAGCCCGTGCCGGGACGACGAGGTCGAAATCCTCGCGGTTGGGTGCTGGGATCGCACCATGTCGTTCTACCAAGCCAATGGCACGCCCGTGGGGAAGGACCGCAAGCTGCAGTTTGATCCGTGCTGTGTCAGCTACTACCAGTACGTCGTTCCATTTCATGCCACGTTCCTAAGCTCCTGTATATCTAGCAAGGGCAAGTACCTCATTGTGAGCGGTTCCAACCACAAGGCGAGTTTGTTTACAAAAGAAGGCATCTTCCTCGCCGAGTACGAGCATATTCGGATGTGTCGACACGTGGGCTAATGCAATGGCTGAAATGCGTAGCATCTGCGACACGGGCGCGTGGGTCTGGGCAGCCAAAGCACGACCAAAAGCCAACGCGATCGCGGTCGGCAGCGACGACGGCACGATCGCCGTGTACAATATTGTCTTTGGCACCGTCCACGGCATTTTCCAAGAACGGTATTCGTACCGTGAAAACATGACCGATGTCATTGTGCAGCACCTCATGACCGACCAAGTACGTGGCTGTTGCTTGTTCAAAAATGTTTAAAATCTTGAAAATTCGTAGAAAGTCCGCATCAAATCGCGCGACTATGTCAAGAAGATTGCCGTGTACCGGGACCGCCTCGCGGTGCAGCTCTCGGACCGCATCATCATTTACGAGCTCACGAACGAGACGTCGTACGACATGCACTACCGCGTCCGCGAGCGTATCCAGAAGGACCTCCCGTGCTCCCTCCTCGTTGTGACGTCGCTGCATTTCATCTTGTGCCAGCAGCGCAAATTGCAGCAGTACAACTTCTCCGGCAAGAAAGAGCGCGAGTGGATCCTTGAGGCGCCAATTCGGTACATCACTGTGACGGGCGGCGCCAAAGGCAAGGAAGGTCTTCTCGTCGGCTTGAAGGACGGCAGCGTGCTCCAGATTTTTATCGACAATCCATTCCCGATCCCGCTCATCAAGCAACCCAACGCGATCGTTTGCCTTGATATTTCGGCCAAGTACCCCCTTTTTGTCGTTGGATGGAAATTCAATCTAAATGATGTTGTAGTCGGGAAAAGCTCGCGGTCGTCGACGACAGCAACAACTGCCTCGTGTACAACTTGGTACGATTTTTAAGAGTATTTTTAGTGGTTTATGAAGTTTTATGTTGCATTATGCGACATGTAGGTGACCAAAGAGCTCTTGTACGAAGAGAAGGGCGCGAATAGCGTGGCGTGGAACAACGAGTTTGAAGACATGCTTTGCTTTGCGGGCAACGGCCAGCTCAAGATCAAGACGGGCAACTTCCCCGTGCACAGCCAGCGCATGCAAGGCTTCGTCGTTGGTTTTACCGGCTCCAAAGTCTTTTGTCTCCACGCACTCACCGTGCAGGTATCCATCTATCCATCTATCTATTTATCCATCCATTCAAAATCTGGATACAATGCATGTGTATGAACCTTTGTCGTAGGCCATTGACGTGCCGCAGTCGGCGCCGCTCTATCGCTACGTCGAGCAAATGGAGTTTGGCCTTGCGTACAGCGTCGCGTGCCTTGGCGTCACGGAAAGCGACTGGCGGTTCCTCGCCTGGGAAGCCCTGTACGATGCATCAATCTATCAATCTATCAACCATCTATCACGGTGACTCATGATTCGATGGTAGAAAACACATGAACTTTGCGATTGCGCGCAAGGGCTTTGTCCGCGTCCGCGACATTCGCTACATCGAGCTGGTCAACAGCCTCGAAGCGACGCGCAAGGCGCAAGAAGCGACGTCGCCCGCGCCGGACGTCGACAAGAAGCACAAGATGCTCATGCAAGCCGAGATCCTCGCGTACCAGAGCAAGTTCCAGCTGGCCGCCAAAGTCCTCATAGACGCCGACGAAGCCGGGCGCGCGATTCAAATGTTCTCGGACCTGCGCATGTGGGACGAAGCCAAGAAGTTTGCGGCGCAGAGCAAAGCGATTGACGTCAAGCAGCTCGTGCTGGACCAAGCCAAGTGGGCCGAGGACGTCCACGACTGGCGCGCGGCCTCGGAAATGTACCTTGCGAGCGGCAATCTCCTCAAAGCGGTGCAGATTATGGGCGCGCGCGGCTGGCACAACGACTTGGTTGAAGTCGTCCAGCGCCCCGACGCCGACAGCCAAGTGCTCGCCCTCTGCGCCGACTACCTCTACAAGGCCGGCAAGTTCAAGCAGTGCCGCGATGTCTACGTCAAGGTCGCAATCTATCAATGTATCAACCAAGTCCGATGGTTTTGGTGCAGATTGGCAACTTTGACGCGCTCCTCAAGATGCACATTGACTGCCACGAATGGGAAGAAGCGGTTCGATTGGCGCAAAAGGTAGTCGCCTCGCAAGGGTGCTAGAATGGACATGAATGGTCCGATTTGCGTCGTGTAGCACAAGGACAAGGTCAAGAACCTCGCCGATGTCTACGTGCCATACGCCGAATGGCTCGCGACCCAAGATCGGTTTGAAGATGCCCTCGGCGCCTACACGCTCGCCAAGCGACCGGAAAAGTGCATGGCGCTCCTCGACGAGCTCATTGCGTCGGCCGTCGCCGAGACGCGCTTCAAGGACGCATCGTACTACCACTGGCGCATCTGCGACGAGATGCTGGGCTCGATCAAAGCGTCCTCGCCCGAGAATGTGACGGCCAACGACCAAAAGACTCTTGCGTCGGCCATGTCACACGAAGTCGACGGCAAAATCTACTATGCGTACAGCCTCATCTTTGCGTACACGGACGAGCCGTTCACGACGCTGCAGCCCGAGACCCTCTTCCACGCGTCGCGCTTTCTTCTCAACGTCTTGGGGAAGGAGAAGCCGCCACCGGGCATCTCCATCGCTCGCATTGCGTTCACTTTGGCGCAGCACGCGCAGCAGCTCGAGGCGTTCAAACTGGCGCGCCTCATGTACGAGCGGCTTCAGACGATGCGCGTCCGGCCCGAGTGGCAGCAAACGATCGACCTTACGAGCATGGTCATTCAGACCAAGCCGTATTCGGACCGGGACGACTTGCTTCCGATTGACTATCGGTCGTCGACGACCAACCCACTGCTGCACCCGACGAGCGGCGGCGACGTCTGCGTCAACTCGGCCCACCCGTTCGTGCGGTCGTTTCTGTCGTTTGACAACTTGCCGCTGGTCGAGTTTGCGCCGACGCCCGACTTGAGCGACGACGAGGCGATGGCGCTGATCGAAACGTTGCCGCCGATCCAGCAAGGTGAGCACAACAACGACAAGTGGAAGACGTCCGACCACGGCGGCGCGCAGAGCATGCAGCTCAACGACCATACGGACGACGAGCCGCAGACGGGGAATTTGTTTGAGCGCGCGCTCAACAAGCAGGGCGGGCATGGTCGCGGCGCACCGTACCGTGTGCTCGTCGTGGATGCCAAAGTGCTGTTGAGTTTGAGACCCAACGAAGTGTTTGTCGTGAAATACCCGACGAAAGCGCTGCGCTACAAGTACTACAAGAACATGATCCCGGACATCAAGGTGCACCTCTCGCCAAGCTGCCGCATGTTTTTCCACGAAGACGACTTTGAGTTTGAGCACTTGCGCCAAGGCTGCTGCCCGTACTGCCGCGTCGACGAGTACAGCGAGCACGCGTAACAGTATCAACTTGATAATATCGAAACAAGGCGCTTGTTTATATCCAAAGCACGCGTCGGTCATGAGGTTGCATTCAATCGCGAGCTACAATACCAGATATCAACTGGACAGTTTTGCGGGCAATGTGGCACGGGAGGGTCGTGGTAGCGCCTGGAAAGAATGGACGTGCAAGGCAAAATACTGCTATTTTGATGACGATAACCCGTAGCGGTGGCATGAGCGCAGAGTTCGGTTCAAGCCGAGACGAGGTCAGTCCTCATGTAGAGCAAGGCGTCTTCCAAGATCGGGTGACGATATATCGAAAGACACCTCGGCGGGAAAGCGCCCTGGAAGGGCCAATTCGTCTGACAGCGCCAAGAGCCGACGAGCATCCAGCATGATGCGGGAAGTGGCCGTGATCCGAATCGGCTGGACGAGGGCTGGATCGGGTCCTTCAAGCTCGTTGTTGGTGATCGAGAAAAGCTTGCACTGGCGCACTTCCATGTCGGGCGAAACAAAGACGCAGAGCACGTAGCGCAGACCTGGAACGGCGCAGTACTGGACGACCTTGCAGTTCATGCTTCGCCAGCCTTCGTTCACGCCAACCTCAACCTTGAGTGTATAGAATTCATTCCAGCGAAGATGCGCCGGCTTGATAGCGCCAATGTGGCGCGCAGGGCCAAAGCTGCAGTCGGGCTCGAGCTTGGGCAGCTTGCATGCCGCTAGCTTGTGGGTCGTGTCGACATACGCGTTGCGGTGCCCCTTGAGGACTCGATGGTTCGTCCCCGTGGCCTCTGGCCTTGTGGCCTCCTTGATCGCGTCGTCGATGCCATTCGCAATGTCACCGTGAAGACCACCGCTCATCTCGACGACGTAAATCGAGTTGTTTCGAAACTTAAAGTGGCGCGACTTCATCGCTTGGTCTTCCGACTTGATGTAGCGTTCCTACATTTAGTCGGCCTCGGTCGCAGAGCACACCCGGAAGCCGTCGTTGCCGATGACGTTGAGAGCGGCCTGCGCGCCATCCCAGTCCTGAGCCTCAATCGCTTGGTTGATGCGCTCCGTAGGGTTGGTGCGGGCACCAAAAGCAGCGCGCTGGACGCCTGGCATCGTTTTGACTCTGCTGATCATTTTGGCAACTGACCATCGTGGCGCGCTTCATCCGGATAGCGAGCGACATTATACGGCCATTTGTAGCGATCTCATTGGCTATCACATGGCTCACTGCTGTCAGCAGTAACAGGAACCTTTTTCCCACAGTCATCGTAGTGCCTTCCACAATCCATTGATTTTTTTACAAACCATGAGCACAACGAGCGTCAAGCCAACCGCTCGTGGATTCGTGGATCACGCAACACACAATCGAGACTCTGGACTGGCAAGCCATTGGGAAGACCAAGTGATGAGTGCGCGCTTTTTGGAGTATCGAAACAACTCGATTTACATCGTCGAGCTTGGCACGGGTCTTTATGGTGACATTGGGCGTGGCACCGAGCGCTGCATCGTCGCGGCCACGGGAACAGGCGAGTAGGAGGGAATAAAACAAAGTTTATTCCCTTGGGCGAGAAGGACATCGCGGCGCACCCTGTACGTCGACGCCACTGAGCAGGCCAACCGACTGCCACAGCTCGCGCCCGACTGCAGCTTTGGCCCTGCACACAGCATTGGAGTCGTCAAACGTCTCCACCTCCGCTGGTACGAATTCCATACACTCAAGGTTGAGGTCGGCGTGAACTCCGTCCCCGTCTGATATCGTAGGAGGCCAATTCATTGCAAATGTATAATATACCCTTATAAATAGGGGCCGCGATGACGACACCTCAATATGTGGGTACAATAGTGTCAGAACGGATCTTTTCTTCTAGTACGCATACTCGCAAGACGCCGACTGATTGACGGGTGCGAGTCAACTGACTTTGCACTACGCATCACGACATCCAACCAGATTCTGCATCGTGTGTGGCACACGGCATCTCGATGGCCAGTACTATAATCCGGACAACGCTGCATCAGACAAGGACCAAAGGTGGGAGAGAGGCTCACGACGACATGGCGCTAGACTCGGACTAGGTTGCGTGCTCGACGAGCTCGAAGACGAGGATAAATCGACTGGAGAAGCGGCGAGGATGGTCGGAATATCCAAATCGCATCGGCAACCAGAGAGAATAATAGCTGCCGCCAGTGCGTGCATGGACAGCGCCGCCCCGTGCTTCTTTCTGGCCCCACGCTTGGCGGAGTGATAGACGCCCAGCCGGATCCGCCAATCACAGACGCATAAAAGTATCTTGACCGAATTTAGGCCAATCCAATCCAAGCAAAAGTATCAATGTGGCTGGACGGAGTCGTTGGTTTGTGGGCTTGCGGAATCAAACACAACAACTCATCACAACGCGCGCATGGATGCGCGATGGCATTTTCCAACCGCACGGTCGAATGGGCTGTCACCACAGCATCCTGACCCGTGACGACGACCTGGCGCGGCAGCGGGGGACGTCGGCGCCCGCCTTGCCGCAGCCCTCGCTGCACGTGCCATCGGTGCACGGATCAATGCGTGCGACGGTGCGCAATTCCGTGCATAGCGCCGACTGGGCCGACGCGGATACGCTGGACCCGCTCCAGATCGCCTACTACATTCCGCCGCAGAACTCACGCGCGTCCGAGCAATCCCGTCCTCGTACATGAAGACCGAGGTGGGGCACTGGCTCGGCCGGCCTGTGCTGCTCAAGTCGGTCGACACGACAAGGTCCGACGACGAGCAAGCGCGCATGCGGCAGAGGCTCACGGCCGAGATCCAGTCGATGGCGCGCATGGACACCCAACATGTACAGTTTCTCGGGTTTTACATCACGCCGAATCGGGACGTGTGCTGCATCACGGAGTTTGCCGAGGGCGGGACGCTCCGCCACCTCCTCGACAACCGTAACGTCTTGGAGCGGCTCACGTGGGGCCTCGAGAAGATCGCACTGGCCATTGACATCGCATCGGCGCTGGCTGCCATGCACGCGCTAAAGCCCGCACTCATCCATCGCAACGTCAAGGCGTCCAAAGTACTCCTCACGTCCGAGAAGATTGCCAAGCTCAGCGGCTTTGGCGTCGCGCGCGAAAAGAGCTTCGAGTACGACATGGCGAGCGGTGTTAGCGATCTGCAGTGGTCGGCGCCCGAGCTGCTCTTGGACGGCGAAGACTACAACGAGCAAGTGGATGTCTATGCGTTTGGGGTGCTCTTGACTGAGCTCGATACGGGTGCGATTCCGTTTGCGACGGAAATGGCGTTAATGCAGAAGGAGGAGCTCCGAGCCAAGATCACGGCCGGCGTCATTCGACCGAAATTATCGTCAATGTGCCCGCTTGTGATTCGGAACATTGTGGCGCAGTGTCTCCAGCAAGACCCGCGCCTGCGCCCACGCAGCGACAAGATGCTTGCCATGCTCCAAGACGCACAGATTGTCCTCGAAAATGAGGGCGGAAATGACATACCGTAACGAGTGTTTGAAAAATAGAGTAGTGTAGTGCCGTTACCGTGGCAGATGGACGAGAGTTGAGGAAAAGTATCTGCCGCATGCTTGACGGTGAATGAGGCGCCTTCAAAACAGATTGACTCGTTTTCAACGTTTAAACGCGTTTTACTCGTCGAGCAAAATAGACATGGTTAAATCGAAATATCACGTGCTACACAACCCTTTCGACGACGAGAGAGGATGATTCGAGATCTCCAAAACCTTCTCTATCGACATGCCAAATATCAGCGATCTTTTTCAGAGCAAGAGTTGGCTCCTCGGCGTCCTCACCGGCATGGGCTCGCGATTTATATGGCTAAAACAGGTAAAATAGAAAAGCAAAGATATTCATCGAGTATATCCAGTCGCACAATTTGACGGTAATATTTTGAATGAGTACAGCAACATGGTACAGCACCAAAATTCCCAATAACGATAAGTTAGGCTTTGCAAATAATGCTCTACAATTATTTTTTGAATTTAAATACACTCTATCTGTTAGCATTTGATGGCCCCGAGAAACCACGTACTCCCGGTCCGGGAGCACGGGGCACAACTTCTTCATCCAAACTATTTTCCAGCAGATCAACTTTCGTTTCACGATCCGGCAGCAAGACCAAATGCCAGGACTGCATCGACATCAGTGGCTTCACGTTTTACGGCACAGACAGTATTGTACGTCAGAACCTACTCAACCTCGCATCTTTTATCACTGGGCAACGAAGATGCTAGCATTTCCTGGCCACGACCTCATTCATTGCCATTTTTATTGGACTTCATTTTCAATTCCAGTTTCAGTGTGCAACCAAGTCACAGCGTCTGGTGACCACCATTCTATGTGCGGTAGCGCACACACTCTTCCTGTCCATCGCCCGGCCACATTGCTGGATTTTTTGGGCTTACCATTAGGCCGTGTTCGGTGTAAAAAGTGGATCTGCACCCAGAATGTACCTCTGCCGGATACACATCCAGGGTGATGTGTATCCAGTAGGCGTCGACGCAGCCACCATCGGATTGCTGACCGAACACGATTGGATCGAGGACTCGTTGGCTGGTATCGGCCGTCAAATTTTTAATCGAGCGAATAAAAAATACTTGAATTGTCGGCGGGAACATGGTAGTGCCCGCGAACTGGACGCGTGCGCTCGAGGTTGCCTTGGTCGAGGCCTTCCGCAACGTCGCCAAGAGCCCACAGTATGTCGTGTCGGGTGGTAAGAACCTGAAGGCGACAGGCTGGGCAATCGTCGTCAAGGACATGACGCCGAAGGAGGCCACGATCACGACGGCTAAGGTCGTCATCGAGAAGGTCGCTCTTAATGGCTGCTGCGGCTGCCGCTGCGGCCATGGCGCAGGCGAGGAGAACGATGTCGTCGTCGTTGGCCATTCGTTCAAATGCGCGCGTAATTTTCCTCGGCTGTATTTTTATGGTTATCTTTAAAAAAATTGCCCGATGCACTTTGCTCTGGCCGGAATACGCCTCGGGACATGGATTCTGAAAAAGTGCATTTGGGCGACCTCGATACACTTTCATTTTTTTCACCGAACACGAAAAAGTGAATCCTGGCCGATGCACTTTTGCCTCGATGCACCTGAATCCACCAAAAAAACGAAAACTGAACACGGCCTTAATGTCACTGACCGATCAACAGCGCACAAAAGTATCAAGTCGAGTGGGCGGTTTTCAATCCAGTGCAAGACGAACGATGTTTTTCTTGCATTTTCATATTGTCTGTCGACTCGACACCACAACAGCATGGGCTGCAGACACTCGATTGCACAACAGAGTGTGTCCAACCCAACGGCATCAAACAAGCGACGATCGGTATCGCGGCACCAGCCTCAACCGCCAACGTCAACAACGACGCCACGCTATTTGCCTCGTACGCCAACAACAACAACGACCCTGACTCGCCACAAGAGACCTCTCAAGCCGGAGCCGCCAATGCCGACTTTAACGGTCACCCTCCCGCACTTGAACATCGACGCCCTCGCGCCACTCGAGAGCCAGTACTTTATCGCGCCAAACGAGATCGTACCCATCCGATCGATACCGTCTTCGTACCTGAGTACCGAGATGAGCAACTGGTGTGGCCAGCCCGTCCTCGTCAAGTCGGTCGACAGCACCAAGCCGGCAGCGGAACAGGACGTCATGCGCCAGAAGCTCACGGCCGAAATCACGTCCATGGCGCGCATGACGCACCCCAACATTGTCGCGTTCCTGGGCTTTTCGATGACGCCGACCAACGAATTGTGCTGCGTCACCGAGTATGTCGAAGGCCGGACGCTGCGACACCTCCTTAGCACGCCCAAGGCGTTTGCCAAGCTGTGCTGGTCGTCCAGCAAGCTCTCGCTTGCCATGGACATTGCATCGGCCCTCGCCGCGATGCACGCGCTCAAGCCGACGCTCATCCACCGCAACGTCAAGGCGTCCAAAACGTGGGCTCCGTCACCAACCGGCTTGTCGCCAAGCTCAGCGGCTTTGGCGCCGCGCGCGACCAAACCTTCGAGTACGACATGACAAGCGGCGTCAGCGATCTGCAGTGGTCGGCGCCCGAGCTGCTCATGGACGGCGAAGACTACAACGAAAAGGTCGACGTCTACGCGTTCGGCATGCTCTTGACAGAGATCGACACGGGCGAGATCCCGTTTGCGACGGAAATGGCGTCGATGAAGCAAGCGGAGCTCGCCATGAAGCTCGCCGCCGGTGCGATCCGACCCAAGCTCTCGTCGTCGTGCCCGATGCGCATCCAGAAGATCGCGCTTTCGTGTCTCCAACACGACAAGCACCTGCGACCAACCATCGCCACGATCTTGCGCCATCTGCAGCAGGTTCAGCTCTCGACTTTGGTACCAAGTAGCAGTCGATAGCATCTCTGTTTGTGCCATCTAAATTGCTCTGTTTCCGTCCTGTACAAGCGGCCATCGGTGCCTTCGTCATACAGTGCAGTCCGGCTCGCTTGCCTCGTTGGCAAGATAGCACCAGTGCCAAACGCCGGGCCAAAGCTGCGATAAGGCTCGAGCTTGGGCATTCGAACAGCCGCCCACGCGCTGGCCACGTCGACGTACGTAGCTTTAAATGGGACGAGGTGCTGGCATGCAGCTCCCGTGGCCTCGAGCACCGATTCGGGTGTTGCACTTGTGAGAAGGTCATCTCGAAAACGAACGAGGTACTAGTACGCATTTCACAATGTAGTCGAATAGCGCGACGGAAGCGCTTGTTCGTCCGGCGCGACGCAGCCCTCGTACTTGGAGGCGGTGGCGGCGCAGAGACGAAATCCCACGTGCTCATGCAACATTGAGCACACGCTGGACGTATGGTAAGTGCAAGGCATCAATGGTGCGGTTGATGAACGCTACAATGAGGTCCATGTCCTGCCCGACGCGTATTGCTGGGTGCATGGGCTCCATCTTGCAGCTGACGTGACCATCCGGAGCATATCCTGATATTCAAGGCTGCTGATGGGTTGCGACGGCTCGGTAAGGCTGTGAACGCCGCATTTCGAGACGTGGACTGCTCTCAATTGCCGCTTTGAGGTCGACAAGGTCGTCGCATTGCACCATTCTAAACCGTTTTGCAAGGACACGACACAATGCGATAGTCCAACCCGAGAAGCAGCCTGCGGTCTACCAAACACACGATACATGTCGTCGTACACATGCAGTGCGAGGATCCATTATGTACTCTAGTCTTCCCAGCCGAGCTGGTTGGCCGCGAGCGCGTCGCCGTCGCCGTCGATCGCGTGGCAGTTGTAGATTGCGTACATGAGCCGCTGGGTCAAAATCGCCTTGGACGAGTATTTCGGCAGTTCGAGCGAGAAAAAGCACGTGTGCGACACGGGCAGGTACGTATCCGGCGGGTCGCGGGCGTTGTTTTGGAGCTTGAAGAGCTGGCCAAACTCGGCTTTGGAGCGCGGGAGGCGGATGCGGCCCCACGTGAATTTCAAAAACATGCGCTTGCTCTCTTCGGAAAAGTCGTCGCAGAGCACTTCCCAGAACCACTTGACGTGCGCGTCCGTCGGCTCGCAGCAGCTGTACTCGGTGCACTCTTTCAGCAAGTCCATGTCGATGGCCGGTGACCCGCACACCATCATCTCGACCTCGCGCCACGAAAAGAGGCGCAGCACTTGGAGGGGCACGACGCAACCGAGGCCCTCGCGCAAGAGCTTGGCGGCGTCGTCAAACTCGTGCAGGCGGTAGGCCTCGACGCCGTCCGCAAACGCAAACCGGTTCTCGAACGTGACGGCGACCTCGTCACCGCCCGGCACGATCGCCACCGTGCGGTTGTCGGTCGAGAGCGTTGCAAAGGTCTCTTGGATGACGTCGCCAAACGAAGTGGCGTCGACGCCGTCGCTGTCGATGCGCCGGATCGCGTTCATCGAGCTCACGACGAGGCTGTCGATGGCTTCGAGGTCGTCCAAGCTCAACGCTTCGTGCGTCAAGAGCTTCCAGACCACTTGACTCAAATTGAGCGCCAAATACTCTTTCGAGCGCATCGCGACGCCGAGGAGCTTGCCGAGAAAGACCAGCAGGTCCGGCGACGGTCGTGGGTGCAGCACATACGCGTCTCGGTTGTTGCCGACGTTGTGCACGTGGTTGGGCGTCGGAAGCAGCAGTGGCAGCTGCGGACTCTGAAGCTCGGCAGCAAACTGCGAAAACGTCTCGCGGTACGGCCCGCCCGCGTCGATCGCATTCTCGCCAAGAAACGTCACGGTATACAGCCGATTCGACGAGCAAAACTCGGCGGGTTTAAACGACTTGAGGCCTTGGTGCGCTTGCAGGAAGAGCGCGAACGGGTTAAGGCTGCCGTCGGGTTGCCGGGCCGCTTTCGGCCGGTTGAGCACCAGCGTCCTGCTCGTGCCTGGGATCGACGTCGCGGCCATCTCGCGGTCCCAAATCGCTTGCTTGACGAGACCGTAAATGAAGTCGCGGCACGCCATGAGCGACTGAAGCAGCGCCGGGACGTGCCCTGTGTACTCGACGCCGACGTACAGCAATAAATCCGCGTCAATGCGCGTGTTGAGCTTTTGGAGCAGCGCAAAGTGCTTTGGGAGCGACGACGCCGATTGAAGCAAGAGCGGCCACTTGACGAGCTCGTCGTCCGACTTTGGTGCGACGTTGGCCCAGCTCAAGTCGAGGAGATCGCGCTTGTTCCAGCCTCGCGCTGCGCACAGCTGGTTGATGTACCGAACGAGCTCGGCCAATTCGGCTGTCGACGCATCCGATGGCACAACGCCGACGGTCGCAGACACTGGCACGACGTGGAGATCGCCGATCGGGTACACGGGCGACGGCACGACGTCGTGCGCACCGGCGGACGACAGGCAGGCGCCGACGAGGCGCGGGCGGCGGGCGGGGTGCACGCAGTGCCAAAACCCGACATCGACCCACGCCTCTCGCTCGAGATCAAAGATCTCAAACGCAATCGCATCCGTCGGTGCGTCGGCGGCCGTGAGCACCGAGACGTAGTCGTCGGGGCAATAGCGGAACGGGAGATGACCAATGTTCCAGAGAACGCCTTCGTTGGTCGAAAGCGACACGCTTGGGTAGAGCGGACCGTGGCTGAGCCAGCTCTCGTCGTCGTCGTCGTCGCGCTGAAACGACACATCCGGGAGCAGGCGACCGTTGATGGAGAACGTCATGACGCACGCCTCCGTGTCCAGTAGGACCCCGAGGACGTCGCCGGCGGTCCACGCAATGGCGTCAATCTCTTGCTTGTCGCCGTGCCAGAGCACCATACGGTTCAGATCGATCGCGTAGCTGTTTTCGACGTCGCCGACACCGGTGGTCGACGACCCACAACCGGTAAACGCCACGTCACCAAAGATCCAGCCAATCTGGTTCGCGTTGCCGTCCAGCAAGCTCATTTCGTAGTAGACCTTGGTGTGCACCGACGCGTCCGTGATGCCGACGCCTTTTGGGCGGAGCGACGGGAAGGATGTGCCCACATTGCGTGTCTCGAGCTGCGCGAGCAGCTTGGCTGCCGGCGGCACAGCGTCGGTCGTCTCGGCTGCCTACAGCATTGTCATAAGGTCCACGCGACATCCTTCCAATCGTCGTTCTACCTGCGCCACAAGAGCATCAAACGACGGCGGCGGGATGGGCGCCATGCCGTTGGTCTCCCAGACGTCAGAAAACACTTTGGATGCAGTGTACGAGACCAAGTGCAGTGGTGCGTCATAGACTTGAATCGCTGCGACATGCCCCAGAAACCCACGGGATGGCGTCGGGCCCGCAAACGGACGGCCAAACACAAGCGTCGACGCACCACCGTCACGCCACGTCAGCTTTTCGCTAAAGCGCTCGTAGCTGCTCAAGGCGCCGTCGACGTGCAGCGCCAGTAGCGACCCGCACGTGCCCACTTCGATGCGAATCCACGTGGCTTCTGGCAGCGTCGGTCCCTCGAGCTTGGCGCTGGCCATCGCGAGCACGAGCTGGCGCTTCGCGTTGAGCTCGAGGCGCAGGTGCCATGACGCATCATCGGCGTCCAGTTGGAAGATGCACTGGCGCGTGCGGGCGCCGTCGACGGGCGCCACGCGCAGCCAAAACTGCAGCGTGCACTCGTCGTGCAGCGACGGGAGATCCGAGAGCACAATCTCCTGGTGGCCATCGAGTACCATGCTCGGCGTTGGCGACGTCGGCGCGACCGTGAGCGACGGACCCGCGACGACGACCTTGGTCGATGGAGCCAGCGGCAGCACGTCGAACGTACCGAGGTAGTTGTGGCGGTACAACCCTTGGGATGTGGTCGTGACTTGGGATGCGGTCGTGAGCCAAAAGATGCGGACACCAGTGCCGGGCACGCCGTTCCACGGTGCGGTTCCGACGACGACACCGACGTTGCCGGCCCCGCCGTCTTCGTCGCCATACTGCCAGTCGCTGCCTCGGACCACCTTGGTATACAACGGTAGCGGCAATGCCGGCGACGGTACCGGGGCATGCAATTCGGTCGCCGAGAATGTTGTCGTGGTCCCCGCGGCGTCGACGACCGTGATGCCGCCCGGAACGTGCGCGCCGTTGACGGTTTGCGGCACCAGCTGCAGCGTCTTGGCGCCCGGGAGGTGCACGACGTCGCTCGATGGTGTCAGCGCGACGGCCAACGACGGGATGCCGGCGGCGACCGCGTCGACCATGGTCATCGCACTACGGACGCCGGCGTACCACGAATCCACCTTGTCTAGTGCAACGGCGTCGGCGAGCGGCGACCGTGCCCGAATCGTCGCCGCGTCGCCCGGTGCTGCCAAGCACACGGCGGGAAACCACATTGGCGCCAACGACGGCAACTTGACACGGGAGACCAAGGCACGATTGCGCCGAAACACAACGACCTGGTGCGACACATCGAGCTCGACCGCAACGACATCGGCGTCCGTGGCAGGCACACTTGTGGCAAAGACGCCTTCGGTGGCGAGCCCGACGTCGATGCAGCCGCGCACGGTGATCTCCCACGCATGAAGCCCCGACGCGTACCCACGGGTGGTCTGCACAAGCGTCGGGATCGCCGTCGCGGTCGCCGCGACTGTCGATGCACCGGTGCCGTCCGGCGTCAACCACCGTACGTCGTCGTCGGCGTCCAGCGTCTCGAGGTACGTGGCGAGCTGCGTGTCCCACGCAAGCGCACACTGCACAAGCCGGTGCATGAGCGGCGACCGGTCGTCGCCATAGTGCTTGTCGATGTCGTGACGCAGGAGCAGTTTTGTGTGCAAGAACGCGTGCAGCGCCTGGGTCTGCGCCGTCGAGAGGGCTTGCAGCAGCATTCTTGCCGACCATTCCGAGCGCAAAAGGCCGCAGAGCACGTCCAGCACGCGCACCTGGTGCGACGGCGGCAGTAGTTGGTACACGTGCCCCAGCAGCTCGAGCGCCGTGACCAATGTCTTGTCGGCCACGAGACTGGACAGCAAGAGGTCGCTCTCGGCGAGCACTTGAAGCACCCAGCAACACAGTCGAATCCGCGCCTCGAGCGCCGATGCATCCGAGATCGGCGGGTTCTGCGGCGTCGGGTAAAAGCCTTCGGCGTATACCTTGAACGCATGGCTGCCCGTGTCGGCAAAGCTCGGGACGTAGTTGACAAAGATGACGGTATCGCCGTCGACCTCGAGCGGCGGAACACTGCCAATCCCGGGCCAGACGCCCGAGTCTTTCGCACCCGTGTACTGCCCGAGCAGCGTGCCGTCCGGGTGGTAAAAGCGCAGCGCGTCATCGGGGTTGGTCACGTTCGTATCGTCTTCGCGAAACACGATGCGGAGGCGCGACGCACCGGGAAACGTGACGCGGCGCTGGCCGAGCGGCGGCGTCTTCTCGATGTGAACGTAATTGACCACCGTCGACATTGGGAGCTGCGCCACTGCCGCGTCCAGCTGGCGCACACTGCGGCCAATGACGTCGCGCCGAAACGACTCACTCTGGCCCGCGAGATGCCGCAACTGCGCCGCAAATTTCGCGTCCGGCCGCTCCGGATCGCGTTCAAACACAAAGAGGTCGCAGAGCTCGAGAAAGACGGGGGCTGAGAGGCCATCGGACGAGGCGAGGCACACCGCCTGGAGACACTTGCGCGCATACTGGGCCGAGAGGTTGTGCAGCACATGACCGAGCGCCAATGGCACGAGTGTCTTGTCGCCCGGCGTCGTCTTGCGTGCAAAATGCGCCTCGAGCTCGTCCGCACCAACGCTGTCGTCCGCTGACGGCTTGAGCAGCCCCGTGACGGGGCCAATGACATAGGGCTCAGCGACGGCGTCGAGCATCGACGTATTGGTCGGTGCCAGCGGCGCCGTTGCCGGCAGCACGTAAAACGTGTCGTCGTCACGCGCCAGTGTCCAGCCGTCCGCATCATCCGTGGCGACGTGCACCCAGCGACCGTCCGATGCCAGCATCTTGAGCGTTGCGTGCTGACGCACCGTCGTCACAACGTCGCTCGCAGCGTCTGGTGATGCGTGCAACGTCACGTCGCGGGCTGCCATGTACATGGTCGATACCACCGGGTCGAAATACATGTGCGACACCTGCCACGTCTCGGGCAGAGCGTCGTCCATCGGGGCAGGCAGCGCGGGAGCCATCGTGTTGGGCGACAAGTTGTGCTGGTGCAAGAGGTCCGAGAGGTGGAACGCCCGCTGCTGCAACTGGTCGAGCGACCACGACGACGACGCAACCTTGGCTTTCTTTTATCAAAAATGGCTTCGATGTGGACGAGCCAGCCCCAGTCGTTGCCCGAGCTGTCCGTGTGCCAGTACAACACACACTTGTTGGTCGGAATCTCAAGCGGCGGGCGGCCGCCGACGCCGGCCCAGTTTTCGCTGCCGTCGCGCCCGGTGTACTGCGCTTCGCCCCAGGTTTCATTGTACGAGTCGTCCTTGTAGAACTTGACATGGTCGTAGTCGTGCTCGGTGCGGCACCGGTCGTCAAACGTCACGCGCAGTCCCGTCGCGCCTTCGATGCAGATTGTCTGGTACACGTCGATCGAGTTGGCGTACGGGTGT